AAGACAAGACAAGACAAAAGAAGACAAGACAAGACAAGACAAGACAAGACAAGACAAGACAAGACAAGACAAGACAAGACAAGACAAGACAAGACAAGACAAGACAAGACAAGACAACACGATACAACACGATACAACACGATACAACACGATACAACACGATACAAAACAATAAAATATATTACAATACAATATAAAACAATACAAAACAATATACAAAACAATACAATACAAAACAATACAGTACAATACAATATAACACGATACAAATTAATACAATACAATAACTAATGCAAAACAAACCTTTCATTGATACTCAATCCAGGCAGAGTTGGATAATTCAAACTTGACAAAAGCTTCGTTGGATCTGGAATTTTGACATGTGGGACAGGTTTCTGAAAGAAAGACAAAAAGATTTGTAAGACCCAAAATATTGTTTTGTATCCTAGCCTTTTCAATTTTCAACAAAAGATTCATCAGTGTCCATTTTAGAGTTTGCATATCATGATATCATATACCGAACAAAGATCAAATTAATAATTTCAACTTTAGTGAACGCTATTCCAATTTAATGCTAAATTACAGTTTTTGAAAAGGCTTACAAAAAAATTTGACTTAAATTTGGATGTTTTTGGAAAATCAATATGACATTTTTAATCATTGTAGCCATAACATTTGATAAAATGTGACCTAATGAAAGAACAGAAAGCTATGTTTGCAATACCATTTAGAATAATATTATATCGCACAATACAATACAATACAATACAATACAGTACAATACAGTACAATACAGTACAATACAGTACAATACAGTACAATACAGTACAATACAGTACAAAACAGTACAATACAGTACAATACAGTACAATACAGTACAATACAGTACAATACACAACGCCATACAATACAATTCCATACAATACAATTCCATACAATACAGTTAATACAATATAATACAATACAATACAATACAATACAATACATTTTATGATACGATAAGATGCAACATAGAATGATAATATGACATGATACAATATATACAATAAATAAAATGCAATATGACAGATAGAATACAATATGATATTATAAAACAATAGGTACAATACAATGCTATACAATTTAATGTAATAATACGATGTAAAACTTACGCTTTTCTTGTAAAAAGGATTAGTACACAGTGATGGATAGTAAAGTTGCCATCCGTTGAATCCTGCATCAAGTAATCTTGGTTCAGATTTTACTTGTGCACTTGAATCCCATTTGAAAATCACATCCTTGAGAATCTGGATTGGAGAATCCTGCTTTGAATTCTCACGAGTACCATCGTGATCCATAATGATAATATAATCCATGGATCCTCTCTTAATCCAAGTTTCCCAAACATCCTTTGGCAGTCTTCTTTCTACGCTATTGACATTTGCCCCCGGTTTTAGCAGCTCTTCGCGAATATTCAAGATATTACTGTGTTTGACACGGGAAGCAGCGAATTCATCAGGGGGTCGTGTATCAAGGATTAAGATGGATTCGGATTTCACGGATTTCAAAAGATTGTAAAGTTCATCTTGTGCAATCCAAGGGTCAACTTTGGTAGGCTTTCTTGCGATAGAAATATCATCCATTTCCGTATCTAACGCATAAGAAAAAAGAATAAATACATGATAATGAACAAAATATGATATTATAAAAAATAGCATAACATGATATTGCACTTTGATGTAATATTTTTGTATTATACGGAATAGCAAATTTGCATTATACAAAGTAACTCCCAAACGAAAATCTAAGGAACCAATGAATTGGTTCGTGATAGCATATGTTCGAGTTTTCAGGGGATTTTTAAGTGAGAGCACTAGACAAGGGGAATCTATATCAGTTCGACTTAACAGATGTTCGAGTTATCGGGAGGTTTGAGTTATCGCCAGTTTTTGTATAATATTACATCGAAATTACATAAAACTACATAATATCAAATTACATTTTGAAAGCAATTACAAAAAGCAAACATTTGGAAACATATAAAGTTTCAGACGAAAAACCTAAGCATGTTTCGAAATTTTTGCCATTTTCAAATTCGTTTACACTAAATTATTGGTACTGCAAAATAAACCCACCAAAACTTGGAACATCAGGCAATGAGCTAGCATAATTCCCAGGTAGCTGTAGAAAGTCGGAAAATAATTTTCGTCATATATTTGGTAACATCAGGACGAGTTGATAACACTTTAAATAAAAACATTTATTCCTTCAGCTATGAAAGGTCTAAAATGAACAATGCTGTCAATGTGAGATTTCTTGAATAAAAGCCTTCGGTAATACCTGTATCCAAAATAAACAGCACGGACGAGAAACTTCCTAAGCCCGAACAATGTTAAATTGCCCTAGACGAGTTTGCTCACCATGCAAAAAGATGAGTTTGCAATTAGGCCTAAAGAGATATTTTGAAAATCCCCAAATCAAAAACAATTATCGCTCGTTTTAGAAACGGAAATAGAATGACTAGATGATGATACAACGCAAATTAATTTTACGCAATTGTACACGATTTTGATAGGCAAACTAGCTATAAAGTTTCTTATATAGCACCAGACACAAATTAATTCTTTTTGCATGTGCGCTATAAAAATGTAAATTATTATCATTCTTATTATCACCTTTGATTCAGGTTGCCTTGTATTTGTTGGCTTGTCATTTTGAAATTCTTTGTTATTTTGGTTTTTTGCTGGTCTGAAATGGAAAAAATTCACCAGGAATATGGCTAAACGATAAAACAAAGTAAAAGTTAGAAGAGAAATATGTGTATCATAGTGATTGACACAAAAAATGACTGCTAAAATTACGTCAAAGAGAGGGCCTAACCGAAATAAGGGTGGAAGGAGCTAACGTTGGGCGACAGCATTGAATAAAAATCAAGGCCAAAAAAGGAGATTAACAGAAAGAAAAGAAATCAAAAAAATTGATTGAACTCAACATTGTTTACAAGACAAGACTTTTTCAGATCTTCTATTAAGCACCCTTGAAATGTGTAGAAAAGTGGCAGGGCAGAAACAAGAATATCAATCTAGTCTCTGCATTGCAAAAATAATGAAAGATTGTAAACAAACAATCTCAAGAAATATCATCATTTCAAATATCATCATCTGGACTAACTACTAATCCAAAATTTTGTGAATTGTCAAACATGCTTACCTTTTGCCCTCTTGGGATGCCTTCTCCTGCTTTTTGGTATCTGCAGTTACGTTCCCTAAAGATAAAACACAAAACTATATTTGCCATAATTTGGCTCAGAGACTTCCTTGTCTCCATATTCTATTACCAGTGCAACCAAGGGGGGGGGGCAAAAGAGGCAAATTTACTCAGAACCCGGCCCTGAGGTCTGGGGGCCTTATAAAGTAATGAACTCAATTTTAAGAATGGAATTAATCAAAGGCAGCAAGAATGCCTAAAAATAGTGAAACATTCTAAACGATTGCAAGAAATGACTGCAAGAAATATTCTGAAATGCATTTCAAGCTAATTGAAGAGTGTGGTCCCAGAAATCTTCTGCTCCCTTCACTCACAGGGGCCTTGCCTTTCTGTTTCACACAAGGGCCTCTGAAACCTCTCAGCGGCCCTGTCTATTACAATAAAACTTTCCCTAATTTATACATAAGCTCAAGTAATAAAAATGACATGTCTAAATCAGAGCATAAATCAGAGTTTAAAGAAACATGTTTGCTTATCAAGCATTACGCATAAAAATAGCTGCATGATTGCATATATTTTAAACGCCACATTCCTTTCTGGCCTGAACAATTTCCAGCTTGACATTCAGCAAGTAGTTTAAACTAAGACAATAGCATGTATAAATTCTGGCTGCTGATGCTGACAGGGTGTCACTTGAACAATTTTTAGGGGACACCTCCCCATAAATAGCACCTTACAACACAAAATCTACAAATATTAAAAGTTGCAAGGAATTCATTTTAAGAAAAGTTTAAAAATGAACCTTGAGCATTGGGCTTTGAATTTCTGTCCTCAATCAGTTGCTTATATCTGTGTGTAAAAAACAGAATTTCAGAGAGACTGCTTTAAATAGAGAGTTGTCAATGACACTAGTATAAAGTGAAGCATACAAAAGACTTCAACAGACTGACCAACTTTGTTTTTCATTTTTTTCTTCTATATTGTATATTGTCTGACCAAATAACTTCTTCTTATACATTCCACTAAAATGTTTCCATACATACTACAGACAACACTACTAACCAAAACTACTATTCAACAAGACAGGGAATGATAGCTTGACGAGCCAAAGGCTGTGACCTCCCTGAGGCCATTACATAAAGTTAAACTACAATTTACTATCTCAAGAAGTTTGCTAAATAAAATAGAAAAATTAAAACAAAACAGAATAGAGCCAAGATGGACTCTATTTTAAATACGATCTGCTGGCTGTGTTTGGTTGTTTTCCTTTGAGTTAGTTTACTCAAACTGGCCAGATTTACGGATGAATTGGTTGGTGAGAGGGAGGAAATATATATGGCCAGATATCTTGCCAGCAAGAAGCTTTTAATACCAACACTTAATCAGAAGATACAAAAATATTGTTTTTCCCATTATCAAGTTATCAAAAAATTACGGCAAAAAGCAATTCGCATTTTAGGAAGCTGCGTGCCGAACCTTGGACTAAACCCAAGTGAAATAAATTCAAGCTTATACCAAGAAAAAAATCAATTCCAAAATGGAATTAGCTCTTCTTGTGTCATTCAAAACAAAACTATAAGCTTTGAATCCTAAAAAACTTTTCTTTTAATATATATTCTAAGAAGGCCGGCCTGTTTAGTACTAATCTTTTACCTTTCTCCGTCTTTATGCTAGTAGATTTATATATGAAAATGTTAGGAAAAAAACTTTGGCAAACCTTTCTTTTAAGCTATCAGCTAGAGTTTCAGCTCTTTCGACTGCTGTTAACACATTTCGCACCTCAATCAAGTCATTGTAAATTTTCTGTAATAAATCAGAATCTTTGGTGTTAAAAACATTATAAAGTCATGGCAAATAGGCATTTTCTATAGGGGGTCATTCCGCTTCGGTGTGATTGCTGCTGTTTCATGTGATATTGGCATCCGTTGTTGACAACTTGCTATTGATGGAAACTGTTATGTTAATCAGTACAAGATGAGTTCATGTGACCAGTTCGAGGTAAACCAATAGCATCGCAGTCATGGAAATCATGACTCAGCGAATTTTGGCAATTTGGGTACACCCTTTCCTTTTATCTTGCCTTTAAGCTACACTAAATAATACAAAATAATACTGATTTTTTAAGAATTATTTTGAGTGATTATCCTGACCTAAGTTGTGTTGATTTCACTCTGCAAAAGTATATAATGATGTAAAAGTAACACCTGTTAGAGGGGGCATAAATAGTAACCTCTGCTAGAGGGGGCATTAAAAGGGGTTCGGCATTAAAAAGCGCTTTAATGATTGGTTCCACAGTTCAATGAAGTTAGTAGAGAGATCATATCATAAGGCAACGTTGAGCAGAATACAGAGAGTTTAAACTTTGAAGGGTCCTGTTCAATATACTGTATTCTTTTTTTACTTCTGCGCTAATTAACACCAATTTGATTGATGGGTTTTTATTTAAGGATATACTGGGATAGCAGACTGAGAAATGACATAGGCAAAACTGCTATCATGGGGGGATAATACCTTCTATTGAAATGTGACTCATAGCAACAATAATGCCTTGTGAGGAGCAAAAAGCAGGCGCTTGACAAACTAAGCACCTTCTAGGCTCTCAATTGAGCATCATCAAATATCATCAATAACAAAATTTGGTTTTTTGCATTTAGTTTCTCGACAGCATAAACACACTAGGTGCTTGATCAATCAAGCTCCGAGAATTTTCTAGGTCCATGCGAAGGCACTTGATCGAGCTTGACTGCCTCTTCTTGTAAGGCCTGGCAACAGTATTAGACTAACAGTTGACATGACAAAAAACAGAAAACTAACAAAAATAGTTTATACCATTTGCTTCTGATATTCATAGGTTTTCTTGATTGCCTCAAATATATGCAAGAATCGCATATAAAGGATATAAGCGTTCTCATCATCACCATCTTGAAATCTTGCCTCTGCCTTTTTGAATATACCACCCAATGAAAGACAATATCTATGGAATACAAAGAGATTCATGTTAGAATTCATCCAACAGTTTAAAAAATTGCAGTGTTGTCGTTTTGGTATTTAAAGAGAATATCACACAAAAGGATGACTTCACGAAAAGATTCTTTAATTGTCCAAATTTTAGCCACAAGAGTAGAAATAACACTGGAATACCTCTAAATGTGTGAAATCAGGTAAAACTGTAACAGATTTCAAGAGATATCATGGACAATGAAAGATTGAAGTTTATTAAAAGATTAATGCTGACTTGGTTTACTTCATAGGATAAAAAGCTAGGACCAAATAACAACGAATTCAATCGAAAAGAGCTTTGAATTAGTTTCAAGCTGTCTAAGACCTTTACGCATTAAAGAAAAACTCTCTTCTAATTTGTTGCCAAATATTGCTTAATCTGAAACACAAAATCTGTTAAGTAATAATTTTCAATCCCCTATCTGAAATACTTATAGTCACCTCAAAATTTACAAAGCCTAGTTAAAAATATGGAACACTTAATCATTGTCTGAAAAACACCTCATACTTGACCTGAAAGTTGTCAATGTCACTGCCAAAAAATACGGCCTAAATTTCAAAACAACGAGCTGATAAACTTACTGTCGACACTGTAAAGAAGTCTTTATGCTGATCTTAACATTCTCTGCGTGACTATTTAAATCACTAATCGAATTTCCAACTGCAAGTGGTTTCTTCTTCGCAGGAACAGGCATTTTCTTGCATTTTCTTTATGTTTCAAGAATAAGTCAACTCTTTCCTAAAACGACTTCGCAAAAGCAATGGGGAAAAACAACAGCTGCTCCTCCGCACTAACATAGAGACAGCAGTTTCAGGAAATGTTGATGACGTCAATTCTAAATGTCACAAAGTTTTACATGGATTCGGTCAGGTAATTTGAAAATGTACTGTATGAAACTGCTTGTTTCGTTTTGATAAGGTGTAGAGCAGTGGTGGCGCCAGAAATCTTCCGACAGAGGGGTTGGAGCTTCCGACAGGGGGGCTAAAATGACTAAAATAAGCAGTTTTCGTACATTATTTTGTCAAATTTGCTCCGACAATAACCTAAAATTTCCTCCGATGGGGGGGCTAGATGCTTCCGACGAATGGGCTGTAGCCCCCCTAGCCCTCCTTTGGCGCCACCACTGAGTAAAGGAGGGTAAGGTTACCAAGCATGTACAGCTCTGCCTAGAAATAACTTAGCAAATGTGTGGGTAACGAAAATGCATGAAGGGGAATAATGCAAAATTTTAAAAAGAGTTTGACATACGCGTTTTCTTGTTGCTGTGATACATTTCTATTCATTTTCCGAGAGCAGTTGTCACAGCCCTCAAAGGATAATTGTGAGGTCATGCAAAAAAGGCAAATTAAGGACTGAAATTCAGTATGTAAGGGAAGGAAAAGAGGTGCTGGTGTATGGTAAGGTCAGGTAAATTTCTGTGAAGGAGACACATAAAGTCCTAAAGTCCTAGAAGAAGAGGCTATAATAGCATCATAAAGGGCTCTTTGGGATTATTTTTTGAATATTGATGGGCGATAGATTGTTATGGAAAACACTGTGGAATTAGACGTGGAATATTGATGGTTGGCCAGTTGTTAGTATCGTATTGCTTTCTATAGATTTAGACAGTTGAAGAAAATGAATGGCAGAATATGGACCAGGTCCGTATGGAGGAAGATTGAAATCCCAACCCAAGAGTCAAGCAACGAGACTTTTGGTAAGATACACAATCTTGTATGAAAGAAATAGACTGTATCGTAAAAGAGCAAGGGTATTTTGCTAGAAGTCTCATGGGTGCCGTGTCCCTATTGCTAAAAAGTGCTAAAAAGTAGCCAATTTCTACTACTGATGTAACATTTTCATTGAAATGTGGGTACCCTACATAAAAGAGCCTCAAATAGAAGTTGTGTCTAAGAGTTGAAGAGTGGAGTCCAGCTGTAGAAGAAAATAAGAAAAGCGATAAACCTTTGTCTTCCCTAGGGGCGTACCTACCGAGGTATGGGGGGTGGTACAGCCCACTCCCCCCCCCCACTTTTAGAATGTTGGTTGGTAAATTTTATGGATGGTCGGTAAATTTTATGGATGGTCGGTAGATGTGTATCTTGACTCTATATAGTATATTGGTGTATATCAAAATCTGGAGGGTTGAATATTGGTCGGTAAATTCACCCGTTTTCACCCCCCTCCACTCAAAATCGTCAAGGTACGCCCCTGGTCTTCCCCTTCCGTTTGACGGACTTCCACTTTTCGACCCTATTTTTAACTGAGGCTCTGGTACCCTGAGTAAAATGTGGGTAGAATGACGGAGAATGGGAGATCTCTATCGAATTGGAAAGGACGAGGATGAGATAGATAGCCCAGGCCAGGGGGGTCACTTTAACCTTTTATATACAGAGGGATCCATTCAATAATTATGGGTAAGAACTTTCCTTATGTTCTGATATTTTTGGGTACCTGATTTAACAACAAACTTTTCTGATACTTATGGGCTCAACTTATACATAATAATATCAAAAACAGGAATAAAATAACATACCTGTTTAAACTGGTTATTATAGGATAAAATCTAAATTACTGTGACTAGTGGTGCTCAACAACAACATTTTGTTTTGTAGCGTAAGGATGGCTTTGTTGGGTAGTTGGCTTAACATCCTTGTAAGGATACATGGAAGGTCCTGCTTCCTTAGTTTCCAACATTTACGACGATTGTAAATATTGAATCCAGCTATAATGACTTAAAGATTACCAGAATACGATAATATAAAAACAAACAGCTACATTTTAGACTGTGATGTTTTGTGAATGAGATAAATGATATATAACGTTTCAATATGATAATGCATTCGTTCGTGATAATGGTTGGTTAAGTGAAAGGGTTAGTTGAAAAATGGGTTGGGCAATGTTAGGGCACAGGAAGAAAGGTTGAGATTCTAAAGATTCAGAAGGGCTAGCTATTTTGTTTGGGTTGGTTTGATCATAAAATTACCGGAAAAAGATAAATCGAGAGTTTTAACAGTGCAAACATTATCAGGGGCTCAGACAAAGGGGATGTCCCCCCCCCCTCCTCCTTTTTGACAAAATAATAGAGCTTTTCTCAAGATCTGTTGTTATGGATGTTAAATTTTCCCTTGCCGCCCCCCCCCCCCTCGTTTTTCAAATTGTGTCAGATCCCATGATTGTTAGATCGCAAGGCAAAGAAAGGCTACTGTCAAATTTTAATGAAAGTAGCTAATTTGTGAATTTGGCGAAGAGGAAGCCAACGAAGTAAGGGAATAGGTGGTTGTGAAGATTTTGGGCTTGTTTAAGAGTTTGAAAAGTTGAAAGCGATTTCGTGCGTGTGGGTGGAAATCAGGTAAAGTAACAGCAAGCTCGAAATAAAAGTAAGAGTGAATTGGAAGTGAAATTAAGGGTAAAGGGGATCATTATAAAACAAAAATAGAAGATATGATAATGGCACTGAAGAAAATGCAATGAAAATAAGTGAACAAAGAAATAAATCAACAAGCAAATTAGAATGGTGAAGAGATTAAAGGAGAGACAAGAAAATGATGGTACTGCAAAAGTTTAAATAAGAGTGAATCAAAAATCAAATTTAGGGGAAAGTGGAATAATTATAATCAAGAAAGAGACAGTAGGAGAAGAACGTGAGAGGATGAGAATGTGATTCTTCATTTTCGCTCATCCTTTTTCTAAGACCATTCTTATATTTGACATTAAAAAGGGCCTTATATCTTCTCCCTGACAGAACCATTCAAAACAGCGTTGAGGATAAAAGTCAGCAGATGTATTCTCTACTCAGCGCCCACGCCATGAATTTGAAAGTGGGGGGGGGCATGCCAAGGCTTCCTTCCCTTTTCTGCAGCATTAAAACTACCTGCTTCGCTCCGGCCCCCCGGTGGCGTGGGCCCTGCTACTGTTGTGAAAGGACCAAGGGGGCTATCGCAAAAATATCTATGAAATCAGTACAAAGTCAATAAAATGAAGAGAAAGAAACAACAACAAAAAAGAAAAAAAAATCAACAAAAAATGGATATATATGTATGGTAGTATTAACATTTTTAGCATTGCATTTATTTAATTACTTATTTATTAACTAAAAAGAGTCAGTAGGTCTGACTTTATACATGTAGGCGAGAGAGGCACTCGTCAATTGAAAAAAGTCCTAAAGGACCTTCTTTAACTTTTAAACGCAAAAAAGCACTTCTTCCCAATGATTAAAAAAAGAAAGAAATGCAATGATTGAATTGATATTATGAATTTTCCTTATTGTTTAAGAAAACTGACATGAACCACACTGGGAATGAATACTTGCCCCCCCCCCAACCCTCATTTGCATGTAATTAGTAAAAATGCTGCCAGCTAAGCCACCTAGTTTTGCCATGCAACATAATTGAGATCGATTGATTGAAGTTTTGATTTGCCAAGCAACATATCACGATGGATTGAAGGCTGAATTTCGGACGCATGACCAGGGGCGTCGTGGCGGATGAAATCTAGAGGGGGCCAGTAAGAAAAATTCATTTCTTTGTTTCTTTGTAAAAAAATTCAAGATATATTTGAAATAGAAGCATTTAATGTAAGTATAAAGAGTGTGAGGCAGAAAAACTCATAACTTTTGCCTTAACTGGAAAGAAATTCAAAATATACTTTTATCTTTGTCTTTGTCTCTTACAGTGAACGCCCCTGACATCCGTAGATAAGGACAAGGGTAGAATGGAGGTACTATCTGAGGCGGCACCATGGCTGCCGCCGAACTTTTGTTATGATTGTTATATTTTCTCTTTGCCCCTCCACTTTCCAACCAGCGTCGGAGCCCATGAATTCTAAATGTGAGACAATTTTTTCTCTCAAAATTGTCACACAGTCATATCTTTTTGGAAAATTTATTTTTGTAGAAAAGATCTACATTTCATAAACATTGCTGAGCAATGAACTAGCAGAAATTTTTTGTATAAGAACCATTAAATTGAAGTTCAAGCTGTCTGTCCTTTTTAATTTCGAAAATTTTAGGCTGGAATATTCTAAATTTGACCTTAAATTATAAGTGTACAACCTGGAATGTCCTCGTAGAAGTCTCCTCTCGAATAAGCCCCCAGCCTGAACATGATAATTTCTAAAAGCCCCCAACCGCGAGAAAACCCCTAACCTAACGTACCACTTTTGATATGCTCTTTTAGTCAACAAGAAGTGTCATATTAAAGGGAGAATAAAAAACAAAACTTGCGATGTTTTTGTTTTTATTATTGACTTGCAAAACTTTCGCTTCGAAATGAAAAGGCATCGAAGCAAACCTTTTGAATAGCGACTTTATTTAGCCACTCAGCTCCAACTTCAAAAATCTCTCCCCTTTGCCCTCTCCCTCCAATAATCCCCACCCCCTCCCCTAACGCACTTCCATTTACCTCCCAGGCCAGAAATTCGTACAAGAGGATCTGAGGTAACGCCCCAGCGAAGGAGCGTTTTTTCCCCAAGGCCGACAATTTCTTTGACATATTTTCCCGTTTAACTTGTTTCAGTGTTTACAATCAGAGATAAAAACACTTATTGTAGCCAGCTAGCCAATCAGAACCAACTGTTCACATGATCACAAGGATGATTCCTATGGCCTACTGAATAAACACTTTTGGTTTTTAACCAATTAGAGAATTGTGATCACATGTATATAAACCCGCCATCTCGTTTCATCACTTTATCTTCACGAAGGTATCCGAAGCAAGACGAAGGCAGTTCCAGGATAGAAATTTTGTAACTCAGTTCGTGAATAAGAGAAAGAAACAATGTCAAACGAAGAAAGAGTGATAAATTTCTTTCCGGGGCCTTCGGCGCTCCCAGCTGAGGTTAGTATCCTTATAGTTTTTTCAAACCATGTGAGATTTCTCTCATCCTAATATGGTTGACATCCAAATATGGCCTACGGACCTGCTAATATGGAGCAGGCCGACCTTCTGCTTTAACCTTATTTGGGGAAACGCGGAAATTTGAAAAAATTTTACTCGAAAATTAATTGATAAAACTTGAAAATGCAGATCTAATGATTTTAGTTTCAAGTTAATAAATATTTTAGGATTTTTGTTGTTCGTTGCTCCAGGCTATAGAGCTGGACGATCGGCCCGACATGTTTGTCTTCGCTTTTGGAAGGAAAATTTTGAGTGTTGGTCAAATAGAGGTTGGCCTAGATACGATAGGGTTCTGTTCACGACAATTTTCTTAATTCTCTTGATTTTTATCAAAGGAAAGTGAATCTAGCTAAAGTTTCCAAGAAAGTTTTCCTTTTTATCGGGCCCATGGAACAAGAATTTCCGAATCACACTACGTGGCAAAAATAATTACACCATTGTGTGCAGTCAGTGTGCATAACAAATTTTTGCGTTCGGAGCCCATTGAAATCCGCGGTTTTCTTGATACCAATAACAATGTTAAAGTATTATGTGTATTTAAATCTGATTTTGAGCTTAGATTGAAATCGTGGACTGTTAATTTTTGTTGAAATTTTCTCGGGGTTTAGAATATGGGACATGGGCAAAGCTTTTGGACCGAATCGACCTTTGTACCTAGTCAATCCATCATGAAATTAAAAGACTCTTTTTCCATATCAGAAAATTTTTGCCTCGCAAAATCTCATTCTGTGAAGCGTGGATAATTCAGGAATGTTTGAACTTTTTGCCTTCCCTATTTACTGAATTTTATCTAACGTCTTAAAGCGATTGTTTTATATAGCAGCTTGTTGGAAAAATTAACTCTGCTCAATCTTTGCGAGCCTTTAGGGAGTTTTGGAGACGCATTTTTCCTCTTGAAGTTTTTTGCTTAAGGCCTCTTTCCTCAAATGGGGGGTGTTAGCTAATACAACTGGGGAAAAATGAACAATTTCTAAAAAAATTGACAATTTGGTGAAACAAAGCTGTTTCATTGCCCTACAGTTTCCAGAGATTATTAGTTGCCCAAACTGCACATTGTCATTACAAATTTATTACTTTTAATTCCCTTTATTTTGTGTGGTTTTTAGCCATAGTCTTTCAACCACAATCATTGATAAGGTCTTAAAACTCTGAAATGACTTTGTTTTTAGGTACTTCAAACAGCTGCAAAAGAAATGCTCAACTACAAGGGTCTTGGCTATGGTGTCATGGGTGAGCCATTTATTTTTACACCATATAACCCCAATGAAGGTTGGAAAGTGAAGGTAACCCCAATGAAGGTAGGGAGCAAGCAGGCCTGGCCATTTGAGGGGGCCATAGCTCCCTTGCTGCCCTCCAGGCTCTCCTCAAATGCTGGAGGGGAGCTACAGATTGCTCCCCTAAATTGTTCTTAAAGAAGATTACCCTCCTTAAAGTCAATTTTCCTTTGTTTCTTTTCTTTTTTATCTACAAATAGCTCACCTGAAAATTACTAGGAGAGCTGTTAACTGCTCCCTTGCTATTAAGTCTAACAGCCAGGCCTGGGCCAAGGGAATATTTGAGGTCCAAAACTGCAATTTTTAGATCCCACTTGACATGGAATGTCCCGAATGGTTACGCTGCTCCCCCCTTGGCAATTTATTTTTACACTGAACCAGGAACTTCTGTCACAATAGCATAGTGTCAGGACAATACCATGACAACCACTGGTTACAATTAGCCACTAATTAGGGGATCAGAATAAGGAACCTGCCAATGTAATTTGATGACCTGCAAGGCTGGAGACCATGGCAGCTCCATTATTTTCTGCAAAATAAAGATATTTTTTGAAATCTTTTTGTTGTGAATCTTTAATTTCCTTTGCCCCCCTTCCAACTTGCATCAAAGGCAATTTAAGTCAAGACCTTTTGTATTCGAATAAACCCTTTCCTTTGGTGGTTGCAGGACCATTGCTAGCTATTGTGCTTAACATGGGGTGCCCAACAAAGGGGTGCCAGGGGGAACATGGTCCCCCTACATTTTGGGAAACACTAGAGTTTTTTCGAAATTCTTTGTTATGATTGTTAAATGTTCCCTTGCCCCCCCCCCCACTTTCCAACCTGCATCAGAGCCCATGAATTGTGATTTGTCAGAAAAGTGGGTGAGTCACCCTCTATTTCCCAACAAGCTTAATGGTTTGTTGATAAAGCAATCCTAGATTGAAAAATACTCATCATTTTGAAACAGAATTTTGTTTTGAAGGGGGGTGTCACATACCCCATGCTTCCCCTCTCATTCCTGATTCCATGCCTTTGATGTAAAAAGATGGCTAATTTTTGACTTTTTCTGTAAAAAATTGAAATTTTGCAACATTGGAGCAGGGCCTGGAAGAGTAACAACTTGTTCATTTTGTTTTTCAGAGATGAGCCATCGTTCCAAAGAGTTTGTGCAAATTTGCGACAATGCGGAACAAGACATCAGAGATTTAATGTATGTTCTTTTGAATTAGCAATTTGATAGTAGCACAACTAAGCACATCAAAAGCCATTAACATAAAATGTTCAACATTCTTTTGGGGGGAGGGGGCTGCATGCAATATCTAGTGAAGTTTTTCAATATTGCTTTAAAAAAAGCAAGCATTTCAAAACATACTACATAAAGCTTTTTTCATCTGACGCTCCTCAGTATAGAACGCCGGAATAAGGGTCCGAAATAATAAGATGGGAAATATATACCCAGTTGCAGATCGAAATATGCCAATCAGAAAAACACAACCACACAACTGACAAAGTTGGCCAATCAGTGCTGTGCGCCTATGGAAAATTACCACTAGAAGTTTCTCTAGTAATTCCTCAAGGATGGTAGATGCTACATTTTCAAATTCCTATGATTCAAACTTGATTCTATGAGTTCCTCTATTCTTATTTAAACTATTTTAAACCTTTGTTTGTTCTTTAGGTCTATTCCAGACAACTACAAGATCATGTTCCTGCAGGGAGGGTGCACTGGCATGTTTGCTGCTGTTGCCCTGAACTTTCTAGAAGGTTCTTAAAATTTCTTTTCCATTTATATTTTCTTTTTTATTTGAAGCTATTTATCCAAAAAGAAAGCCTTTCTTGTTTCCTGTCTATTCATGTAAGAGAGTGAAAACCCAGAAGGAGAGCTCTGACAGACAAGGACGAATTGCAAGGCTACTTAAAAGCAAAATAATACAAAGATCTTCTCTTTATAAGTTCCATTCATAAAATCCAAAATTTTGGAAGGTCTTCAGTTTAATTATTTGATACAAAAGCAACAAAGCAGAAGGAGAGCAGTTTGTTAAAACGCAGAAAGGAAAGAATTTTGTGACACCAATTTGGGATTCTGTTGCCTCAAAATAAATTTCTGTTTTACTTCTCATACTTGTGCAGAAAGTGTTTATCATGCATGCAAACCAAAATGGCCTTTAGATACCATTTTGCTTGATATTTGTTTTTCATAAAAATGTTTTGAACACACTTTTTTAGAAAAATTTTGTTTACCAATGATTGTTGTTTTAATAATCTATCTTTGATTTTAGAAGGGAAATCAGCAGATTATCTAGTTACTGGCACATGGTCTGACAAGGCGGTGATTGAGGTAACATCAAATTCTAAATTACATTGCAATGTCCATTTTCCCTGTTGTTATAGAGAGAAAGCAGGGAAGTATAAACTGTTGCTAACACTTTGTATTTTGAATTTTTCAGGCTGAAAAGTATGGGAAAGTCAACAGAATTTTTCCAAAGCAGAGCAAATACACAAGTAAGTGCTCAAAAGTTCTTACTAATACCTAAAGATTGGGAATCAAGCTGGGTGTAGATTGATTCCGTAAGCAGGCCTTGTGAGTAGCAAAAAGCAGGCGCACGATTGTGAATCATCAATAACAAAAGTTTGTTTTCACATTTAGTTTTTACACAGCAGAAACTCTCTATTTGCACGATCAATCAAGCTCCTAAAACTTTCTAGGTGCAGCGGAGGTGCTCTCCATAACTTCTCTTGTTACTCCCAAAAACCTTTTTGGGTGTCAATTATCAAGTCCCTATACTTCAACTTTGCAAACCATTGGTTCACAGCAATTCTGTTGATAATTGTTGTTACTTGGAGTGTTTGCAAGAACAACCTCAATTGTTACTCACCTGGGGCACAAAGATTCATTGCTAATGGGACCTTTTGACTGAGAAGTCTTTTTATAGAGGAATTCATTGAATTTACTCTCATCGAAGTAGAAAAACAGTTAAACAAGCCAGAATCAAGATTTATTCATTTAAAGTTTCTTCATTTTGAGCCTGAAATCTCAATCATCGTCAAATCTCATTAAGCAGCCTTTTGAGGTTGATACAATACCAAACCACGAGAACTGTTTGTCAGAGGATTTAAGTTATTTAGAGGATTTAGGGACTGGTTTTGGATTTAAGTTATTCATGACGATAAAGGGATTTAAGTTATTCAAGTCACCATATTGTGTAAATCATGACCTTTTGGTCTAGTCTGCTTCAGCAGAGAAATCTATGACAGACATAAGTCCTTTAAATGAGAGATATTTAGTTTCATTTAAGAGACTTATGTCTGTCATATATATTTTTGTATTCATTCCAGAGTTTGAGAATGGTAAAGCACTTGAAAGATTCTTAACACATTGTTTTACTGTATTTTCAAGAAGCTCTGTCACTAAATGGGGTCGAAACTTCTATAAATGGCTTCATTCCCAGACGGTAGGGTCTTGGCTTCCCAATTGCACAGCCTTGGCCTCCTTGACCTTTGATCAGTAACCTTTCACCTCTGACCTTTGACCTCTGAATTTTGGTTGGCTCTGCAAACCAGGTGAAGAAATATTTATATGAAATTTGTCTAATGTTTTGTTCTATCTATTTACAAAAGCGTGTTCTCTTATAGCAATCCCGCCCAAATCAGAATGGAAATTTAACAAAGATGCATCATATGTCTACTATTGCTCCAATGAAACTATTGGTGGTGAGTTTCTTTGTTTAGCAGTATAAACCCTGCAATTCTAATCTAGGATCTATTTATATCTTAGATAAATCTCAGTTGTTAGGATCACAAGACTATAGATACAAGGATGTGAGGCTCGAGTAACCAGCATGACAAAACTTTCACTTGAGAGTGTTGAGAGTCACCAGACCTCTGTAATTCCTGACATAAGAAGCAAAAGATGTTGTCACCTTTTCAGAAATCAGAGCAAAAAGAAAACACATCCTCAGAAGACAAGGCAACAGACAGCAGACCTAAGCACATGTAGTTTGAGTCAATAACATGACTAAACTTTCACTCATAGTCAGGGGAGTTGCCTGGTCTCTGTAATTCCAGGCATAGGAATCACCAGGTGTGATCACATCCTCAGCGGCTAGGGTCACAGACTACAGATTCAAGGCTCTTGGATTCATGTCCCTGCATTGACCAGAATACATTCAGTGAAGAGAGTTGCTAGCTCTCTATAATTCACAGTTTAAGAATTGAAAAGTTGTGTGACATCAAGAGGAAGGAATAAGACATTGCTTGATAAGCATAGCTACACAGTGTCCTAGAAACTACTTTTGGATCTTAGGTAGTAATTGCAAATTCCAATTAAAGAACACACAAATCATATTTTTCTAGCAAGTCTATTCTTCTTACACAATAAAGCTTTTATAATGGTGTATTAAAATGTAATTCTTATAATGTTTTCTTATTTTTTGAATTTTATCTTGGTTTATTTTATCTTAATTCATTCCAGCTGAAACTCAATTTAGGACCCCAACCCTAGCTCTCTACAGTGATTGAGAATTATGTCTTTCTTCAACAGGGATTGAGTTTCATGATATTCCTGAAACAAATGGTGTCCCATTGATCTGTGATATGTCATCTAACATCATGACAAGGAAATTTGATGTGACAAAGGTATATTGCTTGAGTTTTTACCGAAAATTTCTAGTACATTTCTTTTTATAACTATGTATCTGGTGATTGTTCAGTGGACATTGGCCAAATCAGAGCGTAATTAGGAGACATCTCTCCTAAGAATGTTGATAGACATTGGGTCCTTTGACGTAGATTCCCTTTCTATTTTTTGTGTGTATAATTGTCCAATGGCAGAAACTGGTCCTCTCTGAACTATGTCCCATGTATCAAGGAACATGCAACATGGAAAATATTGTGTTAGTATCCTAGTCTGCAATGTGAAGAGCTTTGTGCCACTTGCAAACCCAACAAAATAGGACTAAAAATTGTCCTTGGAACGATAGAATCATTGGATTTGTCTGTTAATCAGCTCTCTCTTTTTTGTTTATGTTTAGTAAAAACCTAACTTTAAGAAAAATTGATTGCTGCACATTTTGTTCAAGTAGGTTTTTAGGGCGGGCCCTTGAAAATTTTCGCTCACCACACATTTTTGCAACAGATACATTCAGGCAGTCAATTTTGTTTGTCGTTGACCATAAATTTTGAAGTTTGTAAGAAGTGCAATAAATTTGCCCACTATGACTATGAACACTACACTCTTTCACTGTTCATCACAAAATCGTTTTATCACTAAACAAAATGGCTATCATGGCAGCTTAGAATTAGGTATGGTCTAGTGAAATACTAATCGAGTTCCTTTTGGTGTTTTGGAATTAAGTTTAGTAACAGTTTATACATTTGTTTGTAGTTTGCTTGCATTGTTGCCGGTGCACAAAAGCTTTTGGGTCCAGCTGGTGTCGCCATTGTCATTGGTATGTAGCATATAATTTTCATTATGATTTATGAAAATTTATGTTGATTTATGATATGATTTATGTCTACATATGAAAATTTATGTTGATGTATAAAATGATTTATGTTTACCTATGAAAATTTATGTTGAGTTTTAATATGATTTATGGTTACCGGTCTCTCATATGGTGCAGTGCAGAGTGGAAACAGCTCAAATAGGATGTGGTTCTTACCAGACTATATATGTACAAGGCATATTGACTGAAGAGGAATACTGTAAACTGGTCTGTTGTTATGCACGAAGAATGAGTACATTAAGAGGAAATGTAGTGGGAGGCTCTTTACTTGGTACCTTGCTTGTAAAGCATTCGATGCCGTACAGGATGGTTCCAAGTCGCAAATACCAGGCATTTTATGTAGTTTTTGCTAGGCTATTTGTGTACAAAGCATATCAAATGATGAAAAATACTGTTTACCTGTCTGTCATAAAGTGCTCGAAGACTTATAGGCAAAGCTGTACGCACGTTTGATGTATAGAACAGGACGGTTCTTAGTTGCTAAGTAGAGGCACAAGCTTGTCACTTGTCTTATGATGCGATTAACTTTGTTTGCAGTGCGAGAAGACATGCTTGGTAAAGAAAGAAAGGAGTGTCCAACAATTTGGAATTTCAAGGTATTGTCAAATTCTTTCGTAAATGTGAGCTGCACACTAGGGGGAAAGCATACACGCGACAATTTGATTTGTAAGCGAAAGTTGTATCAGCCAAAAGGACATTCCTCTGAAGCTTCTCTTTCAAATGCACTACCACCCAGCAGTTTTTCAAGTTGTGGGTGGTTGTGCATTATCATTCCTCTTCTCTGATCCTTATCCTAACCTTAACCCTATTATTGTTTCGTATGGATGCTAAGAATTATGTTGATGCATCAGCGCCAAATTTGGTCTCTTGTATCTTTGTGCCAACTGCCTCTTCAATGTGGCAATAACGTGAAAATTTTGTCTGGAAATATGCATTATTGCCCATCCTCGTCGTTGTTTGTCCATTTTTTATTTGACAACCCTTAACATTGTTTCACATTATACTGGCAAAAATTCTATCTATGGTGTTCTTTATATCCTGTTTTTTTGCTTCAGAAACAAGTTGCAATGGAGTCGAGACTTAACACCCCACCTTGCTACAGGTATGATTCATTCCAAACATTACCATATATTAACATAATATGAGTTTTCATAGTATATATTAACATAATCTATAAAAAATGGGTTATTCTTTTGGAAGATCATCAAACATTCAGTGCGGAGTCAGGAGTTCTCTGTAGGAGGCACATATGAATTAATGTGTGCCAGATTCACTGTATATATTGTTCAAAAACTATTTTTGTTCCAACAATGAGGTTTCCTCAACAAAAGAGAGCTTCCCCAACTAGTGGGCTATTCTTTAGTATATACATTGCTCTTTGAAAATAGCAGAAAGACAGTTGCCATAATACCAAGTTTTCGTACTTATGGACAGTTTTTGACAAGTTTTGTTCCTTTGTTCTCTGACTGGAGGTTTGAACCCTCTGTCCCTCGCTGTGGCAAATTCTCTTTGTAATTGTGGACGTAAAAGTCTCTGAACTGAAACCTGCACTATTTTTCTTCTTTTAGTATTTACATTACTGGTTTGGTCTTAAACTGGATGAAACGACAAGGGGGAGTTCAAAGTTAGTATTCTGATGTTTTATAGCGAATAAGATCTGCATGACATAATATTACATTTGGTAATAAATAGATATTGCAATAAATAGGGTCAAGGTTAGGGGGCTTTGTCCCTCGCACTCTTGCTGAACTATGATATTAAGGTAGTGGCATCAAAGATAATGTGTGAAAAACTGCCATAAAAGTTTGTCCATTTGTCTAGAGCCTCCCCACTCCAAAATGTGTGGGGAGAGGAGGAGGGGGGAGAGGACTTTTTTTGGAATATAATCAAAATTCTCTCATACACGATTTGAAATAGGGGCCACTTCTCTTGTGACAGCACAAAGACAGTTGCGGGTTCACACCACTCCCCCTGCCCCCTCTTTGCCCCTCTTGGGGTTATTCCACTGGCTCAGAGTAGAGTGGTGTGTTTTCCGGCGTCCCTGATGTGATTACCAGGCAGCTGTTTAGTTCCGTATATCTGTCTTTATGTTTAGTTCAGAAACTTTTAAATGTATACATGGATTGATGTACGTCACAAAACCCAATACAAATCTGAAATGGGTATTAGTGTTGCTTGGTGTTGAATCGGGCAATTATCATTATACTTGATTTGATATAAAAGTTTTTGAATGCTTGTGACATCGTTTTAGGTTTATCTCAATTTGTTTCCTTTTTTTAGCTTTTGAAGAAAGAAACGCAAGGAAAGCGAAACTATTTTATGATACTATGGAAAACTCTAAAAGCTTCTACAGGTGAGATTTACATATTTCAATACACAGAGAGTAAATGTGAGCAATTGGAACTCGTACCTGCGCCCAACAGTTTTGTACCTCGTTTGTCTTGTGCAGCCCACAACAGACAGTTAAACAGCAATCTTCAATACTCTGAATATATTCATCTTAACTCGTTAATCTATGTTCAGTTTTTCGCAAACCTTTTAAATTTCTTTATTTATTTGCAAAGGGCTACTTCCGTATGAACGTCTCTCTGTATACTTTCTGAACCCTGTTCTCCAATCACAAATTTCAATGGCTTAAAAAAAGATAGTAATTGTCAAAAAAACTGCCAAATTGTTTGCAACTTAAAAGTGGTAAAAAATATATCTGTAAACTTTAAACCATCAATATAATATTTTTTACAGCGCTATTATCGACCCCTGTGCAAGATCAAGAGTAAATATTCCATTCCGAGTTGGACAAGGAGATGAAAATCTTGAAAGCAAGTTTGTGGCAGAGGCCAAAAGTCAAGGTCTTGATGGACTGGCAGGTCACAGGTCAGTAGGCCAGAGGTCAAAGTACCAGTATATTTGCAGATTATCGTGCCCTTTTTCGACAACCAGATAGGCCAATTTTAATTTTTGAAAGATTTGTGCAAGGATGATTCCGTGTATGAGCAACGACCAAGAAGTTTGAATTTTTGTATTTCATTGTGTCCATGTTGCCAAAATTAAATATTTTTAAAGATATAGCTTTATAAAATCTGTACCTTTTTAACTCTGTTAGCATGACAAGATCATGACTTGTTGTTTTCGATTATTCTTTGTTTTTTAGCGTTGTTCCGTTCCAGACCGGTTTGTCCTTTCTAATCCGGCTTTGTTCTTGCTTTCCAGGTCCGTTGGCGGTTGTCGAGCTTCAATTTACAACACACTGACCTATGAGGATGTGGAACGGTTAACAGGATTCATGAAAGAATTCCAACTGACTAATCAAAATTAAATCGACCGAATGAAACCGGACTAGTTTAGAAAGTATCCGAGTTAAAAAACCGGATGGATCTAAGAAGCAACCGGGTAAAATATCAAGAGACCGGATGATTCTAAGAAGCAAACGAACATTTATTTAGAAGTCGGATATATATTTATATTATAAAAATAGAGTTATCGCGTAATATTGTTTTGTGGGTGAGACTGGGTAGACCGGACTAGTTGCGAATTATCAAGGTATGCTTTGGTGTAGTTGCTTCATGAGCCTAACCTACCAACTGCGATCGAGCTTCCTCGTTCTATGCCAAATTTTATCAACGATACCCCATAGGTCCCCATAATCGCAGGAGAATTCCTTGGAAAGTTCTAGGTGTCCGGCCCGGAAAAGAAATTTCTAGAAACCGGTTTTTAGGTTCAGATTTTATTGTATCCGGGTAGCTGATGAACTCTGCATGCTTGTAAAGCAGTCTCTTGATTTTGCTTAAAGAGATTTTACGTCACATTTCCAGACACGGTGGCCTAAAAGACGGATCACATACGATAGCCGTTCAAACGGATTTTGGTTAGCCTAAACTGGGTCCGCAGAATAGATGCTTGAGTTAACTGTTTTATTGTAAGGTATTTATACGTATTTAACCGTTTTACGAAGGTTAGTTTGTAGCTCTATTCATTATCGTGGGCAACGCTGTTTGAAGCCGTTGTGTTAGCTTTCTGTATGGGGAAGAGGTTTCAGCGTATTGTTAAAAGGGAGTCTTTATTTAAAACTATTTCTTTTTGCTTTGTATGTTAAAGGGTACCTTCACATTGCTTGGAAGAAAATTTGTTGACTTTAAGTTGTGTATTAAACAGGGGTTAATGCGGTTGTAAACATCCCACGAGCCAACATTTTCAGACTTAATAGGGTTCAACCATACTGCTTTAAGTAGGGGCAGCGATGTGCCATCCAAGGACTGTGGCGGAGGGCTAAACATTTTGGGGGGCTAAACATGCTAAAAACAAGAAAAAGGCGAAGTTGTGTTTGGTTAAAGTACATTCTGGAGATTTTTGGGCGGGGGCTGAAGCCCCCTTAGCCCCCCGCTTCCGCGGTCCTTGGTGCTACCCCCTTGTTAGGTCCCTGGCATCCCCTCTCTTAAGTCGATGCCCTCCTGTTAGGGTATCAAATATACTGTCACTCGCTTAAAGTATAGAATTCTGTGGGGTCATTGCATCTCGAAGTTTTATAACCATAAACTGTTATTATAGATTTATATTAAACATGTTAAGAAAGCAAATTGGCAGAATTTAATGGTTGTCAAAAAACGATAGAAATTGTATACTTTAGAATCACTTTGTTTAATCTATGTTGCATAAATTAATTTTAAGTTCTTTATAAAAGTAATCATTTACTGTTTTTTATTTTTGGAGATATTTATGTCTTTGGAGTCGTGTGTCTTCAACAAGTCTCTTAAATAAAGAGCTATTTTTCCAAGACAAAGACCATGGAAACTGAAGTTGACAAACTTTCAACAGCGTAACTGCTGTCTTTTTGTGGATGTGATTTTGTGTCCAAGGAAAGGACCAGGGAGCATACCAAAGATTAAAGGGGTCGAAAGTTCTTGGGGTTGCTAAACATGCAATGAACCAACGCAAGGCGATTTTTGCATGGTTTTAAGTACATAATAGGTATTATTAGGGGCCCTTCACCCCCCTGCTTCTGAGGTCCTTGTTGTCGACCTGCCTTGTACATTTTATACATACAAAATGCCTGGTGATCGAATTAGGTGTAGGCCTGGGCCCTTTTAGCATTCTAACAAGTTGTAGGGCTCTTATTAGCTTATTTTGTTTTGATTATTGTAAATTATTATCCCTCCCTTTATTAAAACGAAAGTTAGTCCGACGGGGAAGGTCCCTGGAAAAGGCTATAACAAAAACATGAATCCACCCTTCCAGAAAATGGAAGAAACACTTTATTCACAACGCCCTATTGCTTAGATCATAACATCCTTTCAAGTATTGCTCATGAAATTTCTTATCGAGTTCCACGCAACCTAAGAGACGCACACAACCTAAAAGGACAATTTTAGACTTCTCCCTGCTTGAGAAGTTATGCTTTTGGTATATAAAACAAGATAAGAACATAGATAAAAAATTCTGAGCATGTCACGTGCTCGCGTTTCTGATTGGCCTATTTCGATCCACAAATGGTTATTCATATATTTCCTAGCTAAGAGTTTTCCATCTTTGTTCTGACGTTTTAATCTCTGAAGAGTGTCAGACAAAAAGCTTTAGTTTCTTGTGGCACTGATTGGTCAACCTCAACAGTCATGTGCTCATATTTCTGATTGGTCTATTTCGATCCACAACTGGGTACCTATATTTCCTAGCGTAGAATTTTCGATTTTTGTTCTGACGTTTTAAACTCTGAAGAGTGTCAGACAAAAAGTTAGAGTGTAAGTAAGAGTGTCGTACTAATGTTTTTCGTCGGAAACACTTCAAGGTATAATACTTCATAATATCTCCTATCTATCCAACAGTGGCGGATTTAAGGGGGGCCACTAGGGGCAGTTGCCCCTGACCTCAACGAGTTGAAGCAAGTCTGGCGCCCCTCTTTTGGAATTGTGCGCCCCTTTTGAAGAATGAAAATCAGATGAAACAGGTTCTTGGATCGATATGTTAATTTGCTTCAAGGGTTACCTCAAAATTATGTTGTTTTTTTTGAAAAGGTATCTGAAATTGTTGTTGACAGCGTACTCTCGTAACCAATTTTTAAAAAATTTCCAGCGCCTCCACTACCAACTGACCCTCCTTCAAATGTGCTCTGGATCCGCCCCTGCTATCCAAAGATTTCGATGTGTCTTCTGCCCTTTCATATTCTGAAGAGTGTCAGACAACAGCTTTAGTATGCTTTGAAACGTTTTCATTTTAAAGTTATTTTTAAAGTATTTCAGTCGCCATTTCTAAAGAATGCCTTGCTATCGGTGATCGCAAGTATTGACTCATGCTCATGGGAAGTTTCTGTTCGATGTTAAACAGGTTTCTCTGTTTCCGTCACCCTCAGATCAAATGTCTTCAGGCTGATTGTTCTTAACTTTTTCGAAAATCTGAGGCTGGATTGTTCTTAATTTTTTAACAATCTTTTGGTGATACCAAACTTGAAAATGGCTTTGAAAAAAGCAAACATTTGAGTAAACTAAAGCTTTTCGTCTGTCACTTTTCAGAGTTTAAAACGTCATAACATAGATCGAAAACTCACAACTTGGTATATATTTTTCCTAGCTTACTCGGTTCTTAAATTTATAGGGCACAAGCAGTCCAATTGCTGGCTTTTCGCTGTATGACGTGTTCAGGCCTCATTTGGCAATAAAGGGCGTGATCATTTGGCAATAAATATTCATCAATAAAAATCCTAGTTTTTGAGATAGAACGTGGTTAAAAATTGCATTTAGCAGAAGCTCAGCCTCAGTTTGTTCTTAATTTGTTCTTAACTTTTGATCAATTTGAGGCTCGTGTTCTTAAAAAATTGTTCTTATAAAAGAAAAAAAAGTGTAGCGCAGAAAATTTACAGACTCGCTTGCAGGAAGAATACGCCCAAAAGATGCCTCCCTCTCCATAAACAAAAGTAGTAGCGTAGCCATGGTGATAAGATTCGGGGGGCAAGTGAAGTGAAGAAACATGGGGGTCCACACCGATTTGTAGGCCAAAATTGTCTTAACTTGTCTATTTGTCAAGTAATTTTTGTAAAACACAACACAAATATAAAGACAACACAACACAACACAACAGTAATATAAAGACACAACAGCAAAATATGCATTTACAATGTTACGAAAATCATTTGTTGAAGTTTGTTCGACAAACCAGTGGCATATTGCAGTGTAGGGGCTTTATTGAAGGGGATACAATGTCCACAACGAGCAAAAAAGCCTACTGTGACACGATCGCTGGCAAAACAAGACCAAGAAACAACAAATAAAAATACACAAGGAGGCATAAACGCGCAGTAAATGGAAAGAAAACTGCTGGGAGTGGAAACTTGAACGTTTTTCTGCAATATGTGATAGGGCTTCTGACGAAGGACTTTTTTCAAAATCTTTTGCTATGGGTGTTAATTGTTATGGGTGTTAAATTTTCCCTTTGTCCCTTCCCCACTTTCCAACCTGTGTCGTAGCCCAAGTGTCATGACCTTTTTACCCCAATTCCCAAAGTCGAGTGAAATTATTTACCTCGTTGTGCCGGAGACTTCAATGTGACATTATAATAAGTTGGAATATCTTTTGGGAATTGGGGTATGCAAGTAAAGCGTGCACGAGTAAAACGCAAAGTGAAGTGAACGACAAAATGACGAAACGCGTGGGAATTGACTGCCCTGTCCACGAAACCTGGTCCTATCCATGTTTACAAAGTCTAAACCCCTAACATGTGTACAAGTTCAAATTTGGAATTACAGATTCTCTGCAAAGACCCCCAGTTTTGTATTAAGAAGAAAGTACTGTCTTCATATTTCAGCAGTCTCCACGCCGGATCTTGCTTATATTCAGTGAAAAATCTATTTTACATGCCTCACCATATCTCATTGTCACAAAAGCCCCTGGCACTTACTTATACACGTGATACGAAATTGACCCTTTGAACAGCACATTGCTACTTTTATAAACGACATATAACTGAAATTATTCAACAAAGAAATACAGAATAGCATTTCTTACATTTTAGAAATGATTTTCTTGTTTCCGCTTCTGGACAACTTATTTCCCGGAAAGGATTCTGTAGTTTTCTGACATGCGAAAACATGCTTCTTCAAGTTAGGCATTTCCCTTCAAATGCTACCTCGCGCAATGCATCATGGGTCCGCCTTCGCAAGGATTCCTCCTTTGGATTTCGACAGGGCAAAACAAAGCAATGAGTTGAAATTCCAAATTTTGGTTTTATCATGACATCACAATTTTATTAAAATTTATTAACACCAACCCGATATTTTGCCAAATACCAACAAATTTCTTTGTGTTTGAAAACCACAAAACTATTTGCTAAAGGAAGGTAGATTTTGATTTTAGAGCATCGTTCTGCGAAGCGTCAAAATGCCACGAAAAATGAGAGAAGACTGGCATTGAAATAAATTTGTCCATCAGTTCTCAGTGTATCAAACAACGACTCATGGCAAAAACCTGTTGTCTTATATCTTTGAGAAATCTCCGATTTGACGCGCTTGTGTTACGTCGAATCCATTTCAGGGAATCGTTGAGCGTTTTAAGTATGACCAAGGACAGGGGAAATATTCTGTGTGAGTTCTTGTTAACATAGATTTCTTTTAGCTAAGCAATTTTGAATTAACCAGAATAAGATGCAATCGAAAACTTTACGAGAGGGTAGACAATCATTTATTTCTTTATATTTTCACGAAACAAAGGAAGAATTTGAAAATCCTTTCCTGAGAAACAACGAACAATAACAAAGCGAATGCTTTCATGATCTAGGCACCATCTTTTGAAGACCATCTTGTTAGCGCCTCTCTTTGGAGAGCAATTGCTTTGTCAACCCAAGGGTTCCCTGCCAATGGATTGAATCTCTCAGGCCAATCAAACTGACCAAAGAAAGAAAAAAGGAAATTGAAATCAACAAACATTAAACAATATTCTTGTTTTCTTTACAAAATCAGCGAATCTTTTTGCATACGTATATGAGTTAATGGTTATAATAATAATCATCACACTGTGATGACGTGCCTGCCACTCGATTCAAGCAATAAAATATTTATGAAGCATTAGGACACTAAGGACACTAAGAACACTAAGAACAGGTTATTAGATATTATGCTATCGTGCCGGATCATATATGGTTAAAACTGAAGGGTGCGTTGTCTATAAAGGAAAAAAGACAGGCGTCTGGAAACGGAACATTGTGGGAAATCCGGAACATCGCAGAAGATCAGGAGCCTTGCAGAAGATCCGGAAATTTGCAAGAAATTCAGAACGGCATATCATTATTTTGTATCACTAATGGCTACTCTACGGTGCCTAACTAGTGATGGGTTGAAATAGAAAAGAAGGGTTGGAATTATCTCTAAAAGGGGGTCATTAAAGATGGGGTAGATCGATCTTGCAGTGTTTGCAGCTGCTCTAAGTATGGCACCAAGTAAGCCAGAGTCACATTTTCGTTTTGGGTAACAAGATTATCGACTCCTGCCTATAAGAACAGACGATTCACGCTCAGATGGCCTTACTTAAAGGCTAAAAGAGGGGGGAGGGGGCAAGTTGGAGCTCCTTCATTGTAGCACGCAAGCTCTGTCTAAGGAAAGTTTACATTTGGCGGGTGCTTGTTAGCTTGTGAATAAGCTACATAAAAAATTTACCTACGAAGAATCTAGAAAATTTGGCAGTCACTTGGTTAACAAACGTGAAGTCAATAAAAAAAAATTAAAAGTCACATCCATCCCATACCATATTCTCTGTCTTGAGGGCTTCCGTTCTAAAACCAATGAAAAATTTGTACTTTTCTTTACATTGTTTTCAAGCTTTACAGTAGTCTACCCCTTCGTTGGGCGCCATCTTTGAAACTGACTGTGTCATAGGATAGTGAAAAGGCAAAAGTGAAACTCCATTCATGTGAGTTCGACGCACTTTACAAGCGCACATGCGAATGTATTTTAGACTAACCAAGTTAATTATCGGCAAGCAAGCTTACTTATTGTTTTGGCACACTGGCTAGGACCTACCACTCCCCCCCCCCACACCATTCTGTGTTTTGAGCATTCAAGCTTCATTCCCATAACTGTACGGAAGTTAGGGGCAAATAGCCTATTCTGAAGGGCTTCTATTTGTCTGGTTACTTTCTAAATCGGATGTGACTATGACGTCACTGTGACGTCATAATCTTGATTGCAGCGATAATAGCTAGATATACGCTTACTGAAAGATTTTCGTCGCTTCGAAAAACAACAAATTGGCCGCGGAGGGATTCCTTTCTGCCCTTTCTCTATTCTGTGACACTTCTTGTCCTTTGCAAACATCTAGATAGGTATCTAAGCATTAAAAATTACTTTTGTTCAGCTAACTGAAAACTCAGTGACTTAGGTCTGTGTTTTTCAATTTCTCGCGAATATTAATGAAATCCGCACTTTCTTCTTCGTCAATGATCGACTCAACGTCAGAATCACCATGGATCGATGGTGCAGGCGAGGTTGGCTCAGAAGGAGGCCGCGGGAATCTGAAGTTCTGAAAAGAAGATTGAGCAGTGGAGAATTAGAAACGTTAAACAGTGTTACTGGAATGGGTGGAGGGGGGGGGGGGTAGGGAAAGGGGTGATTACCAAGAGACACATAACGAACTACGTCAAGCAATCAATGATAGCCAATTCATGAGATATCAATATTCCAGAGATTCTAGATAGGAGTAAACAAGCTGGGGTCTAACCAATCAACAGGCTATATTCTGACAGCTGTCCATCATAGCTCGAGACTATCCGAATATAGAAATCTGCGACAATTGACTGTCAATTCAAAATTTAACTTTTCTCCGAGGACAGTTTGGAATGAAACCAAGAATAGATGGATGATAGGAAGGGGAATTTTTTGGAAGGGTCATTCCAGAAAGGTTCTTAAACATATCCTGCTTGATTGAGAAAAGACAGCCAGTGGCTTCTCAAATTCTTAGGCTCTCGATTAGGGGATTCCAACGGCCAAAGAGCATTTCACGAGAGCTGTAGACTTGATAATGATGGTTATGATGATGATGTTTACATAGCCTCTTTTTGGTGATGAAAGTCTGGCCTAATAACTATTCTGTAGTCTCGTAAAGGTATGAGTAAATTATAGCATTATGACTTTCAAAAGACATTATATAAAACGTATAAAATGAATTAAGAAATATATATGAACTATGGATTACAAAACTTACCATTTCCCTCCCGGGGAATCGCATTCTTGGTGCCTTGTCTGGGTGACATTTTTCGACTGCCAAGGCCCGGGCTTCTTCATAATACTATGATAAAGAGAAATACCAATCAAAACTGCGATCACCTAATCAACACTGCGATCATGAAACTATCATTGCGAACACAAAACCATAATCACACAATCAACAATGCGATCACCCAATCAACATTGCGATCACGCAATCAAGAGTGTGATTATGAAACTATCATTGTGATTCAATGATCACAAAAAGCAAGAGTGATTCAATGACAGAAAAAGCATATCGATATCAACAGAAACACAGAATAAAAAAGGTTCATGTTATTGTAAAAAACATTAGCACTATGATCATTCAATCAAGAATGACATCACAAAGGCAATATTTTGATCACACAATCAACAGTACGATCAAAAAATAATCATTGTGATCATACAATCACTGATCACCAAAACAATACTGACAACATAATGCCAAGACAAGGGTCATATGGTGAAAAATTTGATCTCATAATTAAAAGTGTGATCGTCCAATCAAAACTTTGATCACATTATCAACCATGATGATCGTGCAATCAACACAGCAATCACAAATTAGACGCAACCAATCAAATAGCTACTGACAATACCAGAGGCCTTATCAATAAAGATGTTTGCTAGGCCATGAAGTACCAGTTTAAAACAAAGCATACAGATTTATGAATGGCCTTTTATTTGGTAGACTATGAAAACCGGACTAGCCGTATTACGACTCACCACTCCTAGGTTCTTCCAGTCTAACAGTTCACTAAGCCGTTCTGTTCTGTTCCGTAAAATAATCCTTTGCCTTCTACTCAATTGGCAGAAATTGAACATGTACTAAAAAGAATTTAAATAGAAGAAATCTAAAAAATATATAAAGACCAAAAAATATTTCTTAAGATTATAGTCGATCTAATATGAATTTGTCTATATACTAACGTCTTCGATAAATTTGAAGTTATAATACATCGTTTTTCTTAGACATGAAAATTTTACTTGTGGGTAAACTGAATAAAGTGTAGATAACACAGTCCCCCCCCCCCCAAATGAAGCTGGCAATTTTACGATCAGATACGCGAAGTGCTGGTTAATATCCACATACCAGGGTGAATTATAAATGTGAAAAACCGCAATACAAAGGAGATGTTTTTGGAGGACAGAGTTCAACAAAAATATACATTGTACATTGAGGGAATATGGTTCTATTACTTTTGAGCCAGAATAGTCGCAAAAAACAGTGCTTAAATTCAAGTTTACAAAATGATCTTGGCGAGTAAAAAGAGCTAAATGTTGGCGATGACGGACCCAACATGCTTCGGGACTATTCTAGCAAAATCAGTTCAAAACTTAGAATTATCTCATATACCTACATTCAAATAATCTCGTAAATAATCATTCAGAATGTGCTTTGAGAATATTCACGATAAATAAACAAAGAGTAAATCCACTGACTTCAAAAGTCTGGTGACAAATGCAGAATACAGAAATTCTTAGAATAATATCCCGGAAGTACCCAAGTAAAATTCTTGGAAAAAATGCGGAAGTACCTGAGCAAGCTGGTGGATTGATTGGTCAACACCTCTGAATCGTCGATCAACTATAAAAATTCCATACGAGTCCGGATCCGCAATATGCTCTGCCATAAACCTACCGAATCCGGAAAGATTCGTTGAGACGTTCGGAACACCCATCATTGTACATTCAGCTACGACATAAAAGAAAGGACATGAATCCTTCCATTGGGAAAACATTCATACATGAGAGATAACACTAATTCTTATAAAATTACATTGAACAGTTTTGGCGGTGCAGATTTTGAAAATGGCTTTGTTAAAAGCACACATTTTATAACATATTGCCTACGAGCGAACATACAAATGAACATACAAACGAAAAAGCCGCCATTGTGTAGACAAAAGGAGTCCGTTTTCTCTCTTGGACTCCAGTGGTAATTTTTCTTTAGGCTCGCGGCACTGATTGGTCAACTATACCGGTCTTGTGCTTGCATTTTTCTGATTGGCCTATTTCGATCCACAACTGGGTATATATTTTCCATCGTGTTCTTTCAGACCCTTATTCTGACATTTTATGCTCTTAGGAGTGTCAGACGAAAAAGTTTTTAGCCAATATGTTATAAAATGTTTGCTTTTTCAAAGCCATTATAAATTACTTTGCTCAATAAATAAGGATGGGCTTCTCTGGCCTGGGCACAAAATAGTTCTTAATTGATGACGACATAAAAATGTATTATTATAATTATTGAATTTTGATCCCATGACTTGAAAAAGCATCGTTGAATTCTTTTAAATAAGCAAAATCAGTCAATTGTGTTACGAATCGGCTGAGATATGGCCACATATATATTGGCTCTTTCCCCATCAAACCTTTGTAATTTTTCTCTGTTCATAACTTTATGAACTAAGTGAAAATAGCAGTGATTCGTTAGCAAACTTCAAATCTTTAATCGACCGTATCTCACTACATATTTAACTGATTTTGCATTTACACTTTGACCGGTTAGATTTGCCTCGTTTCTGATAATGATCACGTGCCACAGTACCAAATTCTTATATAACAAAAGTTGATTGTCAACTTCACAGTTCAAAACGAAACAGTACGGAGGGTTGGGTTGATAGCTAATGAACAATCCCCCGTCTATGCAGCCATTAGTGCTATGGCTTACAATCGTTTTCATGCAAGTGTTTGGCAATGCTGACGGGGGATAACACAGTTTTATAGAAAGCATCAAAGGGTGGACCAACATAAACAGACGAACGGGGGTGTGACCAAATCCACGATTAAGGAGAGTAAGGAGAATTAAGGTTTATTCACAAACCACAACACTGTTGATTTATATCACAGCAATATGCCCTTTCTAAAATTTGCAGATAAACACTCATTTGTTGCCTAAGGCGATAAGATCTTTTTTCTGTTAAAACCTAAGTCTGCCCTATTCATTATGGATTTGAAGATGTGGAAAACAGAAACATCATTTGTCTTTTAATACCAAATTGATGTATTTGTCAGCCATCTTTTCAATCAAGAAAAAATAAGTTTGCGAAATGCGATTTAGAGATATGTAATAGAAACAAAATGGGTGTGTTCTTTGATTAGCGTGCTCGTATATTACACTCTTTTCTCAAAAGAATATTGTTTGCAAAAATATTCAGGCCCAGAATCATCCCATTAACAAGAATTTTTTAAGAATATTGCTCAGCCTCAGATCGCATATTTGTGTCTCATTTTCCAGCAGTTGCCTGTTTTGCAATGTTCATAACAGGGGATGTCAAATATGACTTCTCATTTTTCAAAACACGTTTAAGAGAGGGCGATGTTCCCATGAAACCATATCAGATTTGAAAAATACAAAAATACTTTATAAATATATTCAGGCTCAAAACGAGAATTTCTTAAGAATACCGAGGCTGGAAAAAATTAAGTATTCTTATAAAAAAGGGTGGGGAATTTCTCGTGGGGGAATGTTTCTCGTCAAATCTCTAAATTTTTTGAAAATTTACCATTGTCAAGTACACAAGAGCCATGTGCCTCTGTTTACCAAATCCAGATGCATTGACAATAGTAGCATTTTTAACAGGCGGATCACGAAACGATAGAAAGATTTATAAAATTTATAAAGTCACGCTCAGGATATAATGCAAGTTTCCTAGTTAGCACAAAGACGTTGCCGATTTCTACATATTAATAGTTTTTTAGACGATCTTAGAAGAGAAGACCATTTTTCTCAACAATTTTTCATATATCCTCGAAGTTGCCGGAAAACTGAGTCAATGAAAATTGCATTGTGGTTACAAACCTGGTGTGTATCCCCACGGCTCATAGTAAGAGGGGAATACGCCAAGATGGCAGCCGCGCACAAACTCTTCGTAGTCTAGCGGAAATAGGGCGTTGGTTGAAGAGAGGAATTCTGGGTAAAATATGACCTGTAAAAAGTAAAGAAAAGTTTTTGGTATCGCAAAATTTGAAGTTGGCACGAAATAGTGGATTGGATACTGAAGTAAATTTCGTCCGACTAAATTTTCAGCTTACTTTCATTATCCGACGTTGGTACTCTGAAGAATGTCGGACGAAAATTACTTCAGTATACTGTGTTTCCGCTATTTCAAGCCAAAAATACTCATAAATTCGAGCTAGATAATGCCGCGTGTAGATTTGATATAAGATGGCAAAACATAAGATATAAGGGCCTAGTTTAAGAAAAGTCGCATATCACATGATAATCACATGACAATCACATGTCTGAAACCAACGAAATTCGAAATTAGAACAGGCGAAACCATAGATATGACAATTGAATTCGATATTCGAAGGATCGAGCGCTGTTCTGTTCGAAATTATGACCTTTCCATTATGTCTCTTTTTTGCCGTTTTTGTTTCTATCTGTTATTCTTCCACCAAATTTTAAGAAAAATGCTACCGGTATGACGAGAAAAAAGGTTAGAGGAGGAGGGGAAAGAATTAACGAGTCAAAAAGGCCAGGGTTAGGTGCTAGGGAAGATTATTCGGTACCTCACCCCCCTTTGCCTGGCTAACGTAAACGGGAGAAAAAATGGCCTACCTTTACTTTGTCTGTTCTGTGATTAAACAGTTGAATACGACGAATGTGGTTTAAGATTGGGTCGGTCCCATCATCCAGCATGTTGTGGGTAACAATGGGGGGCAACCCCGCTCGTTGGGTCGCAAAGATACATCTTTTTAGCTTGACAAGGTCGTCTTTTACCAACAGCTCATCCTTTTCTGGCAAGCGACCTCTGTATGGAAATTTCACGCTTAAGTGTCAAGCTTACGTGTGTTTGTAATCAATGAAAATGTCGGAAGGAAGAAGCTGAGAATTTAGAATTATTGGGTCACTGGAAGGGCGTCAAATGAAGAAGATCAGGGAAGAAAAATTGATGACGGGAAATCAAAGAAGGGAATCAGGGGAGAAAGGATAGATGACCGAGGGTCAAAGAAGGGGACTAGGTGGGGAAGGATAGAGCAGGGGGTCAAATTAGGGAACAAGGGGAGAGAGGAAAGAAGACAGGGAGGTCAAAGAAGGGAATCAGGAGAGAAGAATAGATAACAGGGAATCAAAGAAGGGGGTCAGGGAAGAGGATAGAGGACAAGGGGTCAAAAAGGGAATCAGGAGAGAGGAAAAGATGAAGGGGAATCGAAGAAGGGGACCAGGGGAGAGAGGAAAAGGGCAGGGAATCAAAGGAAAGAGGAAAGAGGATAGAGAACAAGGGGTCAAAGAAGGGGACAAGGGGAGAGGGGATAGAGGATCTAAAAAGAGGATTAAGGGGTAAAGAAACTGAGGACGGGGGATGATCAGAGCAAGGAAGATAGGGAGGAAAATTAGGGAAGAGAATCGAAAGATGTTTATCAGATTGGGATACAGGATCTGCGGAGGGGGATCAAAGAAAAGAAGCGAGAGATCGCTCAAAGGAGGATATGACGAGAGGAAAATAAAGAGGGGAGACTGAGAGAAGAATTTCAGGGTAGACACTAAACATAAAAAAATACCTCATTGCCGCATCAAAAATCCTTTTACCAACTTTATCATGCACACTTGCAACCGTCTCTCTGAAATAGCAAACGTACTGTTCATAGAAATGTTTAAGAATGCCGTAAAACATGCATACAAAGCGCAGCCTGTCCTCGACATAGCGGCAGCGGAATTATGTGATTATTCAACATAGCAGTACAGCTGAATTCTTTTAAGTCGTAGCCCGGATAAATCGGGCTTTCACTTAGTCGGATTGATTCTCAATTCCAACTGGATATTCCTACCGTTTTCTAGTCCAAAGCCCTACTCAGGACATTCTCTAGATCGGATCAATTCCTTACTCCCTCTTGAAGGTCCGACCCAAGGGTGTAGAGCTAGGGGGCTCAGGGGTGTAGAGCTGATGCCAAAAATTGGCAACTTTATACTTTTGCTATTGTTTTTCGCAACATTTTACGCAAGAGCCCCTCTTGTTATTTTGACCTAACGAGGTTCAGCTGTAAATAAACAGATATAATTCCTTTACGTTTTTGGTACCGAAAAATCTGAATATGACAACAAATAGCGGAAACATGGCATACTGAAGTATGGTATAGGGACAAATTTACCGCAACCCCACGCAAGTTGCGAAGAGCCAGGTTTATAAGAAAAAAGTTTAAAATTCACTCCAAATGAGATTAAATTTCATTGTACAGAAAAATCTTCATAAACAAAGATTCAAATTTCATGCAAAGATAAAAATTTAATGTACAGGGTTCGAGCGGCACTTATTTGCAGGAGCTATTGTACACTTCAGTGACGTCATCAACCTAGTGATCTGCCCCAGTCCCCATCATTTGCCCAAGTGCTTCAGTGTGTTTCCGCTATTTCGAGCCATTTTAAACCACATACCTCAGCTGTTTAACATGAGCTTGCCCTTTCAATGCCTCGACGTTAAAATTGTTCGTTCGTGCAGGGAAAATTAGAAATGCAACGACTGTGATATCGACATCAGCAGTCTAGAAAAAAAAAATTAGGCCCTTTTTCAAAACAGCCTATTTCTATGCCGTTAATTATGTGCAGTTGTCGCAATGAGGTGAATAGAATACGCTAGAGGGTCAACTCGAGGCAGCCCTGACCACAGGAAGTGAAGCCAGGAGAAATCTCATTTGCACGGCAAGAACGGAGAAGTGCCGTACAAACACTTGAATGAAACGTGCAATATTAAGCAAAGAATTCAGGCGAAAATTCAGTATTGAGTGATTAAACTGGAAAATCTGAAACACCTACGAAGCTAAATTATTGGATTTTAAGGAAAATTGGAAGGTAAAGCATAATTCTGGACAGATGGTACCGACCGTTGTTTTGGAGGATCTGTAGCGTTTTTTCGCAGTGCCTAAACATTTTAAACAAAACGATATTCAAGTGCTGACTTTAATGAGTAAAATCGTAATCATCACATACTGGACTGGGAAATATCTTCCTATTTGAAATTGAAACCATCATATAAACGTCTGTGTTAGACTGGAATGTCGTCAAAGATAACATAACGGAATTCTTACCTTCAGCATGTAGTTGAGGCGAGCCAACGATTCAAGAAATAAATCTGCTCCTTTATTTGAATACTCGTACCTTAAATCAGAAGATTTGTGTCAATGAGAAGAATTCATAAATCAGAAGAGAGAGAAATTGAGGCAAGTGAGAAATGGGGGAAATGAGGAGAGATAAATTGGGAGTAATGAAGAGATGAAAATCGGGGCAACGAAGAGAGAGAAATCGGGGCAAAGAAGAGAGGGAAATCGGGGCAAAGAAGGGAGGGAAGTCGAGGAAATGAGGAGAGAAAAATTCAGGCAATTAGGAGTGAGAAATTGGGGGTAATAATGAGAGAGAAATTGGGGTCGAGAGGAGAGAGAAGTCGAGGCAATTAGGAGAGAGAAATTGGGGCTAAGAGGAGAAAGAAATTGGGGTAACGAAGATAAGAAAGTCTGGGAAATAAAGAGAGAAATTGCGGCGATGAGGAGAGAGAAATTGGAGCAATAAGGAGAGCAAAATTGGGCCAAGAGGAGAGAGAAATTTGGGCAAGACAATAAAAAATTAGATAGAATTTACTAGATCTACCAACATCGCTTTTTGCAGAAAATTTAGTACAAACAAACATTTAATAAAGATGAAAACTCAACAGTGAGAGGCGGTAGCCGGTAGGTATGCAAGAAATCTTAAAATTATGTTCAAAAACCGTCAGTCACCATGTCCTGTCAGTCAACCATTCAGAGATAGCAATTAATTTATGCCAAATAAAGTAAACTGGCATCGAGAATACATTGGTCGGGAATACATTGAGAATCAGCCGATTGGATACGTAACAATAGGTTTATTGTATTGTCCAACCAATGGGAAATTTAAATCGACTGCGGAATGCATCGGGACTTGTTTCATTAAACGAATATAGACTGGATTCTTATTAAAAACGTAGCTTTATTTTTAGAGCGTGTAGGAGCTGGAGATTCAAGGAAGTCTTGGGGCGTGTAGTAAAAATAACGGTCCTTAACAATGCATTTCTTAGAATACCCAAAATCATTTTTACAAACTTTTAAAGAGAATGAATGCATATACATCTGTTAATAGGCATTAATCAATCACGATAGAACTCCCAGTTCTCACGAAACACTGAGAGATTTCATTAGAAGCCGGCAACCAGTGAAAGTCCGCCGTTTATTCACCAAAGCATCACTCCCTACTTTCACCCTCACTTTAGTAAGACTGCACAAACTTCCGTTAACTTATAAACGACTACTTTTAAATGTGATCCTTCTACTTAAAAATTAATAAAAACCCTGGATATTCCATACACTTTTGTCCTTAACAAAAACCCAATGCCAATTAAAATTGAATAGAAACAGAAATTTTTGAAGCAGCAACAGTAGGTGGCAATCAACTATAGTCAATACAGCCAATTTACAAACTTTCGTGATTCATAAAGATTAACAAAATATTATCGAAAATGTTCTTTACCTTCCAGCGGTGAAGAAGTACACTGTTTTATCAAGGTCAAAGTCATAGTGCCTGAAAAAAAGAAGACGGGAAATCAGCGCAAATGAGAAAGCTACTCCGTAAAACATCACTCGATAATATCAAGTCAATTTCTTCATAGTTGACATTGTCTAGTCTTGACTTATTTAAACATATTTCTTCGTAATGTCTTTATTTCCCTGCCACTGACATTGCATTGCTTTAATTAATACGAAGTTGACATTGCAATGTCTTCATCTACCCGCGTGTGACTGTGTAATGTTTTCATTTGCCCGCAACTGAAATTGCAATGTCTTAATCTACCCGCGTGTGACTGTGTAATGTTTTCATTTGCCCGCAACTGAAATTGCAATGTCTTAATCTACCCGCGTGTGACTGTGTAATGTTTTCATTTGCCCGCAACTGAAATTGCAATGTCTTCATTTACCCGCGTGTGACTGTTTAATGTCTTCGTTTGCCCGCAGCTGACATTGCAATATCTTCATTTACCCGCGTGTGACTGTGTAATGTCTTAATTTACCCACAGTTCACACGGTAATGTCTTTATTTGCCCGCGTGTGACTGCGTTATATCTAAATTCAACAGCAGTTAACCCAACAATGTCTTCAAATATCCCCAGATAATTTTATAAAGCTTAAAATTAGTCTAAGTTAACGATGTAGCGTCTCAATTATTAAGTAATTAGCTGTGGAGACGGCTTCAGTCAATCGATGTTAAATTTTACCTACCCATAGAAATGCCCTCTAACAAAATCATGGATCTTGTCTTTATAGACTGCGTGCATATTCTGGAACTCGTGAAGAGCTCTATGAAATAAAATAATTATCATAAATTATATTGCAATTCTTAAGATAAAATTTGATTAAGAGATAGCTGTTGCTCAGAGGGATAGAATAGTCTATGCAATCACTGCGTACATTTGTACTTGTACTTGTTGCTACCTAGCATCTGAAGGTAGTTTTTAGGACACTGAGAAGCTTATGCTTATCGAGCAGTGTCCTGGTCCTTCCTCTCGATGTGACCACACCTCGTGATTCCTGCACCTGGTATTACAGAGAGCTAGCGACTTTCCCCACTCTGGGTGAAAGTTTGGTCATGCCAGAGACTCGAACCACGGACCCTTGGGTCTGTAGTCAGCGCCTCTTACTACTGAGCCATCCTCGCACCTGCGGAGGTTTCCGAAAAGTCAAATACGTTTCTTAAGCTACATGTTCAAATACTCGTGCCGTGTACTTGTCAAGAACTTTTGTTATAGGAAGATATGAGAAGTATTTACAAGGTATTTCTTGCATGTTTCTATAAAAACATTAGATCAAAAGCATACAAAAATACCTACACATATTTGATGATATTCAGACCATTTGGCGTGATGCAATCTGGTGAAAAAGAAGAAGAAACTTTTTGTGTGAAGTCTCATTCCAGAAGGATTTCTAGGCCATTACTTTCTTTCCCTTTGCAGAGCATTAAAGATATTTTTACTTCACACAAAAAGAGCATTAACTGATTAACAACAACAACAAATAGACTTGTACAACATCGTTGATTTATAAGCTCAATTAGGACATCAACAACGTTTTACAGGGTAACTATATCCCTATTAGTCATCTAATTGGCTGATATTGTGAATGGCAGATGCTTTTGACCAATCAAAGTCACTACATAAGATCTCGAGGCATAAACGTGGATGAATATGAATCCTTTTTAGGCAACATAGCAAGTAGACTAAGATCTTCCGATCTCTGAAACAGAACAGCAGTCGATAAACATTGCTTACCTGGTCTTTTCTTGAGCAGATGTTCTGCTTCATCAGCCGTGATATGAGACACGGTCGTAAAAACGTGTGCGCAATGGACAGCTGCTCGCTCGATGCAGTATCTCTGATAAATACCACGATCGCCGGCTTCCTGTGTCGAGATGAAACAGGATTAAGTCCTTTCTTTTAAAATGGGTCATCGTACAGGCGCGATTAATTGAGACTATACAGTTAGAGAGCGTGAAATTACAGATATTATGGTAAAGAGATGGGGGGGAGGGGTGGTCATCATAGAAAATGGGCTTAACGAGAAACTGGGGAAATAAAACGGAAGGCACAATTAGAGAGCGTGATTTTACAGGCACATTGGCCAATGGCCTATTAGAGTGATAAAAAGGCCTGTTAGACTGATATAAATATCATTAGAGAGGGTATTGCATGCTAGGGGTGCAAGAACTGGGTCAATAAAAGATGAAATTAGATTACGGTATATCATAGGCATAATTGAAAAGGGTAAAGAGTTTTATATAAGAAAATTGGCTACCGAAAGAGACAGGGATGATGACCGGAATTTGTGCACCTACCTGGAAAATGGACTAAAATAGAGAAAACAGAGGGAACTGGCTATTTGAAAGTCTACAGAGAACATTGTGGGACATTCAAAACATATAAGGTGGAAAAAAGGGTTGGTTTTATACAAGATATAAGTATTCAAAACACTGCTAAACTAACCTTGTCCACATTGAACTGAAAAAAAGAGGAAAATTTTTCAGATTTTATACGAAGAGAGAAAAAATTGGAAACATGACGGAATGATTTGTGACACTTTTCAAGAGGATTCTGCTTAATCTTCCTAATCCAAAGCAACAATATTAATCTAATGAGATCTGATGCATGATCTAATTTTAATCTTTATTGAAAATTCCTAGAGCAAACTATGTGATTAACAGTTTGATTTTGGATCACAGATTGGTTTTTCTGAATCAGATTGAATCATGAAATGGATAGCTTCTCTGGTGGGGATTTCAAAAGCCAATCATGCTGTCAACTTTAGCAAAGAGTTTGAAATTAATAAAAACCTACTAGGGATAAACATTCCTTTAACAAAAGATGAATCAAAGATTATCAGATATCTGAATTTCTATATTGCAAGTGATTGGCATTATTATAAGGATTTACAAGTCTGGAAATTCGATCTATATGATTTCAGAACAGGATTACTAGGATTATAAATTCTCTACATAGATTAAACAATCCATATTAAGATTACACAAACCTTGGCAAGATTGTTATAAAAGTCAGCACTGGATGCACAAAGATACCTCCCTAGCAACGTGGCATGAGTTGTAAAAACAGTGCATACATCGATGTGTCTCGTTCTGAGAAAAACAAGTCCGAGACCAGATTGCCATTCATGGAAATGAGCAATGATGAGGGCTTCTGGGTTAATTCGTGCGCGGAACTAAAATGAGGCAGAAACAAAATGGCTCAATAAGGATGGGTAAACCTAGGGAAGTCTTCAGTGGTTTCAACACAAACTTTGGTGAAAAGTTCTCAGAATAGATAAAGTCCTTTTGGTAATAAATGGTAACACCAGCTGTTGTGACTTGGGAGGGACATAAGTGTGTACCACAGAGAGACACATGCTTTCTAACGAAAAGATATATATATTATGATTATAAGTAATTATTTATACTCAAGAGAGAGAACCTCTCTCCATGCCTCGTGCATCTAACTCTAATCAATACTGGCGACGGGAGGGCGTATGTGCCAAATATGGTAAGACCTTCTCACCATGTGTCCCGGAGCCCTGGACCAGCTAATGCCAAGTAAAATTTATCCTACATACGAAGTGAACTTATCCTAAATTTTTTATAAATCGTTCATATATATGTAGGCCTATGAACTGGGTGAGGGACATTCCTTAAATGGGGAACCAATTATAAGGTCAAATAGTCTTGTTTGGGACAATGGCCAAGGATGTTCTTTCTCTCAACAATTTTTTTGCTTAGGATGTCGACTTGAAATAAACTTTGATCAAAATGCTCATCAACTACCAGTTTTCATGTTGCAAATTCCATTGCACAAGTGACAAGAAACAACTGTCTATCAGATGGCAAATTGATCATCAATCAATGATCGATCAATCATTACCAACATGACAGTCAATAAGCCCTGATATGGGCGAAACCGGTCTACAGCCGACTGTTTGAGGTGTCAGTGGCTTACTTTACTTCATCCTTCTACTGCAACTCTGTGGGATGGCATACAGTCTGCCAAAACCTAAGCACGGCTTTGTAGAGCGATTCTTGGTGATATTGCTTAAAGAAACTGTCGAGTCTCTAACACTCATGCGCACTTCTTTTCAGGCTTAGCAGTGTAATCATGACCAACGTTGTAGCAAATGCTACACAACAGTCAAGCAATATCATCTATTATATACATAATGATTCACATAGACTCTGAATAGCACAAAAAGACCCGAAAGACTCAAGAAAAACAAGCACAAAAAGGATAGCATAAATCAAATACTTACAATTAGTTTTGAACAGTTATTTCATTATCAAAAAAGGTTAACAATAACTCACCTCCCCTAAAAACCAGGCCACCAATGCACCAAAAACAACAGCATCAGTTGATTCTTTGTCATGAGAAGGAATTCCAACATGTGACGCATTCCACAGATCGTTTTTCCACTCATTGACCATCTTGTACCCAGTCCCAATATCGAACAAAACAACCTGAGAAAACGGATACACAGAGTTAAGAAAAGAGGCACTTAGCTAGCTGGGGAAAGAGAGGAAGGTCATAGAGTTCTGGGCATCATGAAATACCATCTTCTCAGAATTCATGACTTTAGACCACATAATCTGAAAGAACGGCATGAAATAGTTCTCAATATGCAAAATCAGCGAAATATGGTACAAATTGGGAGAGACATTGCCAATGAAAGATTTTAAGTTTGCTAAAAGAACTGTTATTTCACTTGGTTCATAAAGTTGAGGACAAAAAACAAATAACAGTGATTTGAAGGGGGGAGATTCTCTGGCAACAAGGTCTATAATAAGAATTCAAAATCAATTTTTCCTGCTTATCAAACTTGACAAACAAAGCTATACTGACCTTTGGATATCCATCAATTAGCCATCGGCCAAAAGTCACCTAAAAGTATTGACTTTGTCATCAATATCATTGATTACGACAATGAAAGAGCAAAAAAACATGAGGTAAGATAAAGAATTAATAGATGTTATTTTTTGGAGGAACAATGAGCTAGAAGTCTTTTACCTCTCGTCCATGCAGTGAAAATTAATGCACTGATGGGGGATTAAGAAGCAGCAGTTAGGTATTTTCCCAACAAGATAGGGACTTTTGAAACAAAATATATTTTGGTGTATTTTGACTGGTAATAAAGGTATTGTTGGCTGGCAGCAAACTTACAGAAGTTTAAAGCTAAGCTAACATTATCTTAAATATCATAGAAAATTGTGTTAGGACCCAATCAAGGTATAACAGAGATGGGAACCAAGAACATGGTTTCAAATCTTTGAACAGAAATTGCTTCTGTTAAATATTATGCAAAGAGGATCCACAGAAATGAGCAATATCAAAACAGAGATGATGAAGCAAAGTTAGGCCAGGTGGAGGTAGGCAAAGAAAAAAACAAACTAAGAAGAAAGAGTTTGAGCTTCAGGTAGCAAAAGAGGCATGTGGATGTGCAAGGCTTAGGCCTAGTGTAAACTTTTATTCAATTATTAACTTCCCCTACTGATATTAATCAGTAACAATAGAAATGAAAATAATGGTGATAATATATGTAATAAGGCCTTTCTTAAATAATGATAATATATATACCTTAATTTATGTAAGTTTTACACTATTGCAGACATACACATTATATATATACAATAAAATAAGGCATTTCAGGGGAGATTAAATTATGGCTTCCAATTATGGCAATCATTGCAAGTGCATTGACTTTAAAAGTATTGATTGTAAATAAGCATTTCAAACTGGTTCAACTTTTTTAAATATTCAGTTTCATTTGGAAGGGAATTTTTAATTTTTTTGACCCAGTGGGATGTTTTAGGCCAACCGATAGGACAAGCTGGTCGAGGAAGTTTTGTCAAATGCTAGTCGGACAATCTTATTTGAAATTCTTTATTTTTCAACTGTTTCAAAAAGCAATTCTTGAGAAAATAGCACATTGGACATAAATGCAAATCGAACTCTCAAGACAGAACCGGCTGGTGTTGAAGAGGATGATAGGCCTAAATGAAAAATTATAGGAAAAAGGGTTAACAAAGGGTCTGCAAATTGTAAATCCCAACTGCAAATTAATTTGCTAATGTGTTGGAGATTTATAAGGCCATTCGCTTCTGGGAATGCGGCTAGGAAAGGGTTAACAGAAAACTACTTTTGTCATACCTTCATGCCCTTGTCCTGCATTGACTGGATGACATCATTCATGACAGATGACTCAGGGGTCATCACCTCCACCTCAGTTTGGACACTGCTCTCATTGTATGGACCAAAGAGGCAATAATCATTGCCAAGTTCGTCAACAGTCACTGCTGCTTTTGATCTGATAACAGTATAGATACCTCCAACTATAATTAAACAAGAAAATAAATTAAGCTCCTCCTTAAATTTGCTAGCTTCTCCTCGATAAGTTTATCTTTAATTAGCTCCTTCTTATTAAGCTCCTCTTTAACTACCTCTTCCTTAATTAACATCCCCTACATTTAGTCATGTAATCATTAATTAACATCCCCTACATCTAGTCATCCAGTACTTTTCTTCACTTTTGTTTGCAGACATTCTTGATGTCTGTTAAGTTAAGCGATTAATATCTGTATTATCAAATTAAGCACAAATTTGCTAGCTCCTCTTTAATACGTTTATCTTTAATTAGCTCCTTCTTATTAAGCTCCTCTTTAACTACCTCCTCCTTAAAAATTCATTGCTATCAAGCTAATTGTGTATTTTTCTGTTGTATCTCGACTTTTTAATTTAAAGACTCATTGCTAACAATGGGCCTTTGCGAGCGTGGCGATTATCCAAACAATGGCAGTAAACTTCTACAGATTAACCAAAATTGATTTCAGACTGTCTAAAAATGCATTATGGGATACTTGCATAGCGCAATGGCTCATTGTTAGCAATGAGTCTTTAATAATATCTCCTACATCTAGTCATGAAATGTCCTTTTCTTCATTTTTGCCTGCAGTAATTCTTGATGTCTGTCACGTTAAGCATAGTATTTGTATTAAGAGAAAATGTGAGCAAGTGACATGACTTGGGCAGGGCACAAGCTAGCCAGGTCAGAAAACATGTATGATTTTGAGGACGCATCAATGAGACCAACAACATATTATCAGCTGCTACCTGCAAACATTTGAACTGCAAGCAATGATACCTATATATAAATTACTATAAGCATAATTTATGAATTTCTTGATATTTTTGTCACTAGAAGTGCGAGCAAAAGAAGTCTAGCCTCGCTGCAAGCATATGCAAGTTTCCAAGCCTGGCAAGCTAGTGACCATTGACTCTGTATGTTGTTGTCATACCAATAATGTTGGTAATAATCTTTGATTGTATTTAAATGTTAATTTTTTTCTTAAAAAAATCAAACTCAACTCTCTTCATAACAAAAATTATAATCACACTCTTTAGCTATCATATAATATTCTCCTTGTATCTAAATCTATACGCGTATTCCAATTATGTTTAACCTGCAATAGGGCACTGGGCTCGAAAACCGATTCGGTTCTCTTGGTGTCCTAAGCAACTTAATTTTGTAGCCTTTTAGTTTTGTAAACTAACCATTATTTTATATTTCAAAATATCCGTAAATTATCTGTAAATTTTTGCTGAATTAAATGAATTTAAATTTGATTATTTAATAAAATAAGGATAGAAAGGAAAAGTGCAAATGATAAGCTAACCAGGAATTTGTGTAAACTTGATGTTTTCAAAAGCAGATTGAATTTTTTGGCAATGATGTGGAGTTTTATTACTTCCATGTTATATGGGACATATGTTATGTCCCAAAAACGCAAGAAGCTTCATGATAAAAGACTTTCCTTTGACCACAAATATTGAATCTTGTTGCTAAACAAGCCTTTTCTCATTAGATCCTTCGATTATATTTCCATCTCAAATTACTCGAACGACATATTCCTGTAATACTTTAGGCCTAATCTCATATAACGTTCCCACCCACCCAAACATTAATCACATGATAGCGAAGTTGGCAACTAAAAGCACTTCCAGATAGGGTAAAATTCACTCCTTACCCTTGTTGGCAACCTCCCATGCCACTTCAAACACATACTTCTCGATTTCGTCTTCAGAATCGCTCATTTTCTGTCAGGATTAGAAAGTACAACCGGATCACCTCTGTCCTTTCAACGTTGCAAGATTCTCCATTTGCTGTCCACTTCACAGGGAGACAATGTCCTTGTTTAGCCTCATTTTGAAAATGATGCCATCAAAATGGCGGATCCAATAAACAAAAGAAAGGTTTCCTCTTTAGGCCCAATCTCCAGTGAGATAAAGTTTGCGAAATTTCGCTGCGAAATACTTCACGCGAACAAATTCCTTTGAATGCTTTTGTTGATCTCACGACATTGTAAAGTTTGGAAGCGTGACAAAGGGATACGGAAAATGATTGGCTCCTGAAGGATTTCGTAAGCGAAAAGCGAAAAAGTTAAACTCATTTTTACTTTTTTCACAGAGAAATTCTTCGCGAGAAATCCAAGCAAAAGTTCACTGCACATGCCCAAGGCATACTTCGCGCGAACTTTTTCTCATATCGCTGATTTTTTTCTCACTGGAGATTGGGCTTAAGCAAATTATTAAAGTCGGGCAAATTTGGGGGGGGGGGCGTTGTCAATCGCCTTTTCCAGATCCTGCCAGCCTTCCCTCCTTCCTTGAAGCTGACGATGATAATGGAGAAGATGAAGACGAAATAAATCTTTCTAAGCGATGTTGATGATATCACACTGGAAAAGGTTGTTGTTGGTTGAAGTTCTAATGTCTATTTTTACATCAAGTTTTCTTGACCAGGAGTAGATTACTTAAGCTCAGTCAGCGTATCAAAGGAAAATCGTATGCATTGAGCGTTTTAAAAGTGGGGGTACGACATATAGAGGCTTTATCCACAATTATAAGGACAGGCAATTTCCAGATTGATTCTCTCGAGATAATCTCCAGATAATCTTTTTTAATAAGTATGGGTGGATTTTAAAATAGCATTGTTAACTAACATTGTAGGTTTATAACTCTTTGTTTGACTTTTGTACTAGGTTTTTTCTACTTTTTATTTCCTTATTGGTTAAATTTAGATTATTTATACTTTTAATTTGTGAACCAAACTGAAAACAAGTTTCAAACTTAGTTCGTTTCTAGCCTACAACAACCATTTTAAAGCTTTCAATACAAGCTTTTGAACCCAGATTTGCAGATCAGAAGTAAAAACACAACGAGTTGAATCGAGTATCCGTGAAATGGGCAAACTACCCAGCTTTATGTTTACATTGTTACATCTATCTCTATTTAGCGAAGGAAATAAGCATTCTTCTTCAACTGGCTAAAAATTGTGGACGAAAATTGGTTTACACATAAACATCTTAACGGTTGAAAACGATCTATAAACGAACCTTATTTTTACAGTATCATCCCCATTTGAAATACAAAAGCACTGACAACATAACAAGACTTTAAAATCTAAATAGTGCGGTTTGATACAGAAATGTAGTCATCTTAATTTATTATCGAACAATCCTTATAACTATCCTACATGCGAGAAAACAAATTTATCTACAGATCGGTTAATTTGTTTAAGGTTGGTTGGAGGGGGGCTTGGGGGGGCTTGGACACAACTTTTTATTGTAGATTACACTTCAAGGCAGGATAGTGTCTCAAAACAGGTGAGGACAAATAAAAAAGTTATGAGATTTTTCATCAAAGCGAGACGTATAACCATTTATCTATCTATTGTTTAAAATGGAAATCTGTTGTTACTATTTTTCGAGTCACATAAAACCTTTTTATGGCAATGAATTCATTCTGAATTTTGACCTACCAATGAGAAACTGTCTGTGGGACAATAATGTGCCGATCTGCCTCAAGTTTGAAATGCAACTAGATTCCACGCAATGGGAAAAGATTTAATCAAACAAGCACACCATTAGAAGTTCCTATGAAATCACAGTAAAACTTGGTCTTCGCTCGAAAATTTTCAACCATGTCAAAACAACAAAACTATAGCAAACTTGAGGTCTTTCCTTCCTCAAATCTCAGACAGTTTGCAACAGAATTACTGATTATTCATACTCAAGGGGTATTCTATAATGTTTAGAGCATCAGATCATATGGTCACAATTCGAACATTCTGAAATTAGCTCCTATGACGTCATACCAACATCAATCATATTACGAAACAGATACTGAGAATAAAATTATATATGTTTTACTCGAATTACCTGGGAAAATATTCTCCGGACATCAAATGTTAAATAGGTTTATTCTGCGGGTATACTAGTACACGTCAACAGCTTGGGTGAAAATAAGGTAAAAATACTGTGGATCACAAAATAATTTGGAGATGGTAGCCATCACTTATATTGCATACCATCACTTTAGTCTTTGCGGGGGCGCAACCGAGCTTACGCATGCGTATTTTAAGATCACGTTGGGCTGTGATTGCAAAGTGACTTCGCGTAAACAAGCTGTCAGGAGCCAATCAGATCTGGCGACTACACAGCGCACGCGGAAGCAACCAATAAGACTGAAGTAGACGTCGGCCTTTAGCCAGAAAGCCCAAAGATCAAAAGGTCAAAGGTCAAGGGCAAATTGCAAATGTTATAGAAATGTTACTAGGTGTATTTCGAAAAACTGCAGGGTAAGGTTATGTTAATGGTAACGAGTGTGACATCCAAGCAAATATCAAATTTGATGTTAAAACTACTTTGCATTTAAATTTCATGGCGCATCAATGAGAAGCCGGATTCTATCTCTCAAACTAAGCTATTAGCCTACATGAAAGATAGAGTACTATATCAAATTGAGACAATAACAATGTGGGTTTAAAAAACGTAAATGACAACACAGTCCCATCAAAATCCGTTAGCAATAGCAGTTAGAGGCTATAAAGACCAAAGGTCAGAGATCAAGGGTCAGAGACCAAAGGTCAAAGACCAACGATCAAAGACCAAAGGTCAAAGACAACAGCTCACTGACCGGACACACGTTTTTTAAAAAATTGATTGCTCTTCTTTAATTTCTTTGACGATATTAACAAGATGTCAACATCTTGAAATGAAACCAGCAAACAAAAGCTAACGGCTTATCAATAAAATACTACTCGCAAATTAAATTAACCTCAACATTGTCGGGTCAACAATCAGGTGTCAAGGACGTCATAGATACAAAACTTCTTAAGCCACGTGACCAAAAGGTCAACGATTAGGGTAAAACATCAGCTGCTAGTCGCTACATAAATAAAGCCAAAATTTCATTATATTTACTTATAAAAGCAATTAGATTACAGCTTTATACATATCAAGTTTATGTAATGACCCAAACAAAGGTCAGAGTGAAAGGTCAGAAGGTCAGGGTTGAAGGTCAGTAGAAATTTGTCATCTAATTAAGTCCTTGTTCTTAATTCAAATCTATTTTATACGTTTTTATTTCCATTGGTTCAATTTCAATAAAACTATTAGGGCTCACATCTGCTTTTCTGTGCATCAAAGTTAATGACATTTCTTCTAAAGACTTGACTGCTAATGGCTCAAACGACTCTGCAAAGGTTACCTGAAAAGATGGCATAAATATCATGTCATATGGTCCATTAATGGGACCACTTTTCATATAATTTTTTATCAACATGTAAAGAAAAGTAATTTGTGACACAGTGCACATTTTGGCACGCTCATGATCCGTTAAATAGTGCATAATTCGCAAAAAAGAATTTACCTTACCAACTACAAAATCAAAACATTCTTACAATGGCCATCAACTTAGGTTGACGTTATTTCGTGCAGTTAAGAAGATTTGTTCTTAAAAAACTGTTTCATAAACTGACAGTAACAAAACCTCAACTGCTGAGATACTTTTATCAGGTACCAGTTGAAGCTCATTCCCGTGTTATGCACGTGATAGTAAATGACGATTTACGGTGTTTCTAAACCGCAAATAGGCCATAATCAGCAGTTGTGGTGCTGTGGGGTAAGTAGCAGGGATGAATTTTAAGAAGAAGAGGAAGACGACAAAGATAAAGAAAATAAAAAAGCAAAAAAGGAAATGAAGGAGAAAAAGGTAAAAAAGAAAAGAGAATGTTGAAGGGGAACAGGAAGAAGTAGAAGAGGAAAAAGAACTAGAAGAAGAAGAAGACGAAAACGGATTAGAAGAAGAAGAAGGAGAAGAAGGAGAAGAAGAAGAAGAAGGAGAAGAAGGAGAAGAAGACGAAGAAGAAGAAGGAGAAGGAGAAAGAGAAAGAGAAGAAGAAGAAGAAGGAGAAGCAGGGGAAGAAGGAGAAGAAGGAGAAGAAGGAGAAGAAGACGAAGAAGAAGAAGGAGAAGGAGAAAGAGAAAGAGAAGAAGAAGAAGAAGGAGAAGAAGGGGAAGAAGGAGAAGAAGGAGAAGAAGGAGAAGAAGGAGAAGAAGAAGAAGACGAAGAAGAAGAAGGAGAAGGAGAAAGAGAAAGAGAAGAAGAAGAAGAAGGAGAAGAAGGGGAAGAAGGAGAAGAAGGAGAAGAAGGAGAAGAAGGAGAAGAAGGAGAAGAAGGAGAAGAAGGAGAAGAAGGAGAAGAAGGAGAAGAAGGAGAAGAAGGAGAAGAAGGAGAAGAAGGAGAAGAAGAAAAAGAGGAGGGGATGAAACAAGGAAAAGAACAGCAAGGAGAAGATAGAGAAAAGTAGAAGAACACGAAGAAGACTAAGGAGAAGCAGAAGAAGGAGAAAAGAAAAGGAAGGAGAAGAAGAAAGAGAAGAGGCTATGTAATATTTTACAACATTGAAGTGGACATACCTTTTGGTTGTCTGCTTCACAAACATGCTCAAAGTTACAGTCATAGCCAATCCTATGTATTAGTAGTGCTGCCTTTGAATCTGCCTCGTCTGTTTCCTTGCCTAATGTTCTCAGATTAAGTAGGAACTGATCACATGGCCAAGTCGAATGCAATCCTTGGTATGAAGGCAGATATGTGGCGGTGTCCAAAATGCCAGATGGTGTTGTCATCAGGTATTGCTGATGCTGCAGCCTTTGAAGCAAGGCGATGCTGTTTTGTGATGGGTATGCTGTTGGGATTGGCTTTGGACTCTGTGGAAGAAATGATGAGATTTATGATTGCGTGATTTGGGATGATTGGTTGACTGATTACGGTCAAGGGTTCATGATGGCGATGATGATAACGATTAGTGATTAAAATTATGATTGTCATGATTGAATTTGATTGATGCCGATGTATTGATGATGATGATGATGATGATGATGATGATGATGATGATGACGATTGATTATGATGATGATAATGATAATGATTATGATTGCTACTAACGGTCACGATTCCTAATACTCATGATGACAATGATAAAGATGATCGATGAATTATGATTGACTGATTATGATTGACTGATTATGATTGATTGATTATGATTGATTGATTATGATTGATTGATTATGATTCACAATTATTGATGATCTACTACATTAAACATGAACGACAAGAGAAGTCTTTGCTGTACCTTAGAACGAATCTTTTCAAAATTCTCTAGCAGAAGCAGAAAGTTTGATGGCGTTACTTTGTTGTCAGTCACACCTTGACCAAGACCTCTGTTGTCATCTTGAAATAGCCTCCTGTCCAAAACAACCTCTATTGCGCCTGGAACACAAAATAGAGAGAACAATGTAGAAAGGTTTTACATTCTGTGTCTTACTTAGTAGGCCTTCAAAGTATTTATAAATCTTCCAATTATTGCTTTATGTCATAATTCTTATCGTCAATTCTTGTTTCCGAATTTCATGATTGTGTCATAGCTGTGTTGCATTACTAAACTGAAAAATAGAAATTGAAATATATTCCTTGGGGTTAATTCAAGGAAAGAAGGGTAAATAAGAAGCTAAAGTTAAAGACCTGAGTTACAAGTGGATATCTCCAAGCGTTTCCTGTTTTTCCAAAAATAGTTCTGATAATCATCCAATCAAAATGCGTGAACTAACGCTCTTGAGAGAGTTCCTTCATCAGTTATCACTACAGCACGTTGCGGCCATGCCTGAATTGCAGTGAACTGGAGATAATTTGTAGAACCGACCTTTTAACTATTCCAGATCCACCAATCTGACACTACCATCGCCTATTTTAAATCTGTGCACTTATAGTTCGTTTAATTTGGCTTTGACGAATCCCCATATGCTGGGGTGAAATATTAGCCAAAGTTAATTTACATGTGTTTATTTTTGTCTGTTCTCACCGCGTTGCGGTGTTCCTTATTTGCTACCTTTCTTTTAACTCAGGCCCGTTTAATACTCAAAATATCTCCTGATGGACTACTCGCTATTATAAAAACAGGTTCTTATAGGCCGGTTGTTCTTCATCTCTAATAGAAACAAACCTTTTGAAAGACTTGCCACTCCATTTGACTGTGCTGTTAGAATGCTCAGTCGTCTTCTTGTATCTTGTAAAAACGCAGTAGCAGGCAACGGGTAGAAGTTCGCCTGCATTGGCAACTTGTCTAAGGTTTTTCGACGTTGCATCTGTAAGATAAAAAAATTATTTAACACATTGATGAAAGAAAAACGTCTTCAGGAGAGAAAAAACACAAAGGACGAGAGAAAATTAAGTAAACAATATTTTGGTGGTACAAAATTTGAAAATGGCTTTGAAAAAAGCAAATATTTAGTAAACTAAAGCTTTTCGTCTGACACTCTTCAGAATTTAAAACGTCAGAACATAGACCGAAAACTCTACACTAGGAAATATCTATACACAGTTGTGGATCGAAATAGGCCAATCAGAAACACGAGCACATGACTGTTGAGGTTGACCAATCTGTCGCTTGCCTATTGAGAATGTTACCAATGGAGTCCTAAGGTGGAAACGAACTCCTTTTGTCTACACTTTTGTCTACAGAAAATTAAGTGCAGAAAATAACATAGAAATGCAGCAAAATAATTTTCAAAATGATTTACAGCATGGAGTTTATGTCACAGGTCATAAATCAAAAGTGAAAGATCAAAGGTCGAAGGCTAGAGATCAAGTTTCAAAATGCGACAGTGAAAAGACACAAATCCTGCTATCGATAAATGTGGCAAGTCGATTTTGAAAACTACTTAAACTATAATTATATCGCTACTGGAAAAAGTCAGGAATATTTGAGAACTTAGAAGTGATACTGGCATTATCTAAAATTGTAACATTAAATTTGGAGGCCGAACGAATTCATGCTGAGAAAAGTAGGACAAATATAATCCTCACAATAGAAAATATTATCCATCATGGTATATTCTACAAGTGCATGTATTATACAAAAATATAATATATTGTGATATCTTCGACAAATATCACGATATTCAAAAAGTCCGAACGCACATATCTTGTCTAACATTTGTTTACTCATTTCAAACATATCTATACTCGTTTTAAAAACAATGAAACAAACACACAGTGTTTGAATGCATCAATGAGAATCAGTACAAAACTACAGATTATGGTTTATATTTAATAAGCATTATAATATAAATACGAAGAATATTAATACCTGGAAGCCATTAAGATCAGTGAAGAATTCTTTGTCAACATTATTTATTCCACTTTCAACTCTCATTATCAGTTCCTGGAAAGAAGGAAGAATTCTTAGAAATTTAAAAACTATTCTTGGAAAAGTAAAGACCAAGATTCGAGGCAAAAAAGGAAGCATTTTATTGTAGGAGAAAAGTGACTGTTAAAGACTCATTGCTAACAATGAGCCACTGCGCTACGTAAGCATCCCATAATGCATTTTTAGACTGTCTGAAATCAATTTTGGTTAATCCGTAGAAGTTTATTGCCATTGTTTGGACCGTCGCCACGCTCGCTAAGGCCCATTGTTAGCAATGAGTCTTTAATATTGACGTGAATCCTTTAAAAGGAAATGCTTTGGAACACATAATTGCTTTGAAGAACGAACAAAGCGAAAATTTGGAATGCCAATTAAAATTGATGGAAGAATTTAGCAAACGCCATCAATTTAGAACTCTGTGAGATAAACACATACTACCGAAGTGCATTTCTTCTAATAAGCATCCATGTGGATCACTTCAGTTCAGTTCGGTTCAGTTCACTTAATCTTCAGTTATCCAGTTACCTTCATATCAAAATTTTTTAATCTTTTATCTCCAGTAAGTCCAGTTAACCATATACAAAAATCTTTCAAACTAACAATACATTTAAATTACAAGTTGCAATGACAAGTTACAGAAGAAGACAAAGATAAACAAAAAATTCAAACAGAACTTTTTTATTTATAAGAATAAAAAAAATCTTGGGATTTGTACGGAGAAGTATTTTTATAGGGGATGGTATTCCTCAGTTTATAAGATAAATGAGGAGAAGGCACCCTCTATATCTTGGATACTTGATCGACGCATGGATCATCATCCAGTACAGATCCCTCATCTTTATTTGCAAGAAGCCAAAAGGTAGTTCCAAGAAAGAATTAACTCGAATGTTGAAGTTTTTGGCGGTACAAAATTTCAAAATGGTTTTGAAAAAAGCTAATATTTTACAATATACGTAAGCTTTGTGTCTGATACTCTTCATGGTATAAAACGACAAAATAAGGACCGCAAAGGTGACGAAAAAATATACTTACCCAGTTGTGGATGCTATTTGGAAAAATTTATCATAATGTTAGGCAAATAAATATCAAATTCTGCTAAAATACTGGGCGAAAAACACACCGTGTTGAAGGATTCCCTGATGTCAACAAGATTCTTTATTTCAATTGCCTGGGCTTCATCAACTAAAAAAAGAAAATAATTTAGTTAAAAGTCACTAAAAATTAAATAATAACTATCATATGTTTGACGATTACATTTTTTGAAGAAACAATTTTTATTTGGGCAAATTTAATAAGCTCTAGCTAGTACAATTCTCCCAACACTCCTAAGAGTATGAACGTAGATAACGACCGACGGTAAGCAGAAATTTGTATTCAGATATGGATCGAAAGTCACGTGACAGCAAGAATAAGCCGTTTGATTGGTTCCCTGTTATCAATTTCTGATCCGTATCTGGCAATAGAATTTCTGCTAACTTTCGGTTGTTATTCGAAGCCTAAAACTGGTTGAGTCTCGGACAAAGAGTAATTTAGCATGCTGCCTTGTCCAGTAAATGCAATTTCAACTTAATTCAATCCCCTTTTCAAGTCTAGAAGGTCAAGGAATCATCAATCGACCGTATGTGTTAGAAAATGATCTTTAATACTAACTCACCATCAACATGATAAATTCTTGAAATGGCAGTTGCATACTGCAGCTGGACACGAACTTCGCTGTACTGTCAATCAAAGAAAAACTGATAAACGAAAAGTTGCAAACCATTCATAAATTGAAAGTAGATATTATATGACGTCATAGAAATATGACATCATAGAAATAAACTACTAGAGTTTTTAAATTTTTTTACCACAGAATCTGGAAGTGACGTCATAGAAATATCAGATATTTCTGCCACGCTATACCTTTTGCCTATCATTTTAAAGGCTCTTACACAACCGGCATGCTTTGCGGTAGCTACAGTCGTCACTCGCTAAGCATCACCTTTTTTGGTAAGATGCCCAAACTCGGATTTGTCGAATAAGAGCTGTCATAGAACACTCAGGATTTGAAAGTAGGCCGGATACTAGGCCGGATTTTAAAACATATTCGCAAAGCATGTCGGTTATGCAAGATGCCTTTAACTCGCCCGTCCGACCATTTGTTTCCCCGTATATTTCTTGTTTATAAGTATGTCAATTTGCATGATAAGTTCAGTTTTACAATCAAGTTCCTCGCTACACTTCTTGACTATTTACTATTTCCGGTTCCGTGTTTTCTGCGCATAAAATTTGAAGATGATGGCAAGGGCAGTTCATGAATCTTGAGGCATGCAGATTTATTAAGAAAAACATACACTCCTAGAAAGAACCATAAAAGGTGCGCACAGCTTTGTGTTTCGTTCTACTTGTAAATACGCTGGTTAACTCATTCGAACATCATGAACTGGTATTACCACTTTTGGCCCAATTGTTGTCCTATTAGACAACACCATAAGCAAAGAAAATACCAAAAGCGTTGAAAACCATAGCTTAAAAGCTAGTTTGATGGATTTCGATATCTGAACATTTACTCGGTTCCTTTGGCCTATGACCTATGACATCAGTCCTCTATGACGTATGACCTCTGACCTATCATCTGTTTATCTGACCTCTGATCTAAATATTTAGCGAAACATACCACTTTTCCTCTTGTGACAATCACCAGTGGGTTTGACACAGTGATTTCCTGAGAATAATAAAGAAAAATATCATAAAAATGATTTTTTAAAGAGCAGAATAGAATCAAGAAACAAACTTGGCAAAGCCGATAATGACTAAAAGAAGGCGGAAATTTATATCCAGATATAACTTGAAAGTAATGTAAAAAGAAGAATGGTGCTTTTGATTGATCTGTTTTCGACCAATCGGTCATTATCGGTATCCTAGCCCCTCAAATAGTTTAAGAGTTACAGAGCGAAAAAACCCTTTCGTTACGAGTTGGGATCGTTTGTTTTGATGAAGTTGCTTTGCTAAGGCTTGTTCACCCCTTTCTCCATCTTATTCACCCTTTCACATACTTACACCACAACACAGGCATTCATAATATCAAAGATCCACTAATCTCTTTCATTTACATTTTCTTTGCAACGCCATTCATTTCACTCATCGTCTTAACTTACCCTTGCGATCATTTTTTTTCCTACACTCTTCATTTTACTTTTAGCAAACCATAATAGTGTATAAGCATGTTCGTTTCTAAGTAAATTCAGTTCAGATTTATAATCACATTTGCTGTTGCTCTGTGTTCTTTGCATGTAAAATATAAAAAAGGACTGCGAGGGCAGTCTAAGTAAGTTAGGACAAGCAGCGTTTTGGTGGCTCGAAGTTTACCATCTGAATACCATAGTAAACCATTTGATAACAATAGTTTACCATTAGAATACTATAGTTCACCATTGACGAACAAAGACTGTTCATGGAAGTGTGGCGTTACTTAGGAAAACCTATAGTTTCTAAACTAGTACTCACATTAGCAGCACCATCAGGCAGAAACAAGTAGGCCCCACTTTTGTCCATTTGGTTTCTGGTTCCGTATGTCATGTACTTCACCTCCATTTTGATTCGCTCATCTTTATTCGATGCTAATGCCACAGTCTGAAACATATATCATTGTTCCGTAAAAAGACAAACTTCAATGGGTAAAAATCGGGGATGAAAGAAGCCAAGGGAAAGCAGCGTAGAGGCACCAGTAAAAATTCGAAGGTGAGTGAGAAGAAAGATAGGATGTGAGAAAGAAGATTTGAAGAAGATGGTCAAATGAAAGATGCCCAAACCACGACATATTGACGTCAACGCACAAAAATGTACGAATCTATTGAGGAAAGGGTGAAAAAGAGAGAGAAGAAGAAGTAGTAGAAAGGGAAGAAGAAAAAGAGAAGGAGGAAGTTGAAAAAGAAGAAAGAAAAGAAGATGAGAGATTGGAGGAAGAATAAGGAGAAAGAGAAAACGAAGTGAAATAAGAAGATGAATAAGTGGAAGAAGTTGAAGAAGAAAGAGAAGAAAAGAAGGTAAGATAGTGGAAGAAGAAAACGGAGAATTACGAAAAGAAGAAGTGAAATAAGAAAATGAAGAAATGGAAGAAGAATAGAGGAAAGGAATAAGAAGACGGAGAACATAAAGTGGAAGATAAAGTAGAAAAGGAAGAAAGAGAAGAAGAGAAAGTCAAAGAAGATAAATGGTAAAATGCATGACCAATTATCGATCAATAGATAGTGATTACAAATCACACTGCGAGTGATGCATTGATTTAATACATTGATTGGAATCTCACCTTTAGCAATCCAACGCCCGTATCAAAAACAGCTTCTAAATAGTGATTCCGAAGCACAATATCATCAACCTTGCCTTTCTTCAGTCCAAAAACAGGGCTGTGAAAAAATATTGATTGGTGGTGATGTAAGCAGTTGCATGGCATGACGTACGCCTAAATAACTGTTATTGTTGTAGTCATTTAATGAACACGGTGAAGAAAATGTGATAGAAATTCGATTTGAATTGAATGTGATTAGGGAAGACATAGAATTAGAATGCATCGAAGTTGGCATCGAAGTTGGCGGTAGAAGAAGGCCCTTAGTTTATCTTTCCCTTCCCATCTCTTAAGAAACATGTAAAAAGTTGGAGTGGTGAGCACTGCAGCTGTAAAATTTGTAAAAATTAAAAAAAAATTTTTCCATGAATAATATTCTTTTTCTTCTTTTGTATCAATTCCTTATTCAAAACTAAAATCATTACATTTGATCTTTCCTCCCTCTCTTCCCAATCCCTCCATCTTCTCCCTTCTTAGAGCATGAATATCAACCCCAAGACCTTTCCATAATGAAACCTGACCACATAAACAAATGAAAAATTATCATGAAACTTTTGATAACATACTCAATATTGTTTGGCAGATCTCCGTTCATATATTCGATCTGCGCAGCGGAAACAGACTTGCTTCGCTTGATTTTATAAGTTGAGATACCAAGAGCGGGAGTTGTGGCAACAAAAGTTAGCTGAAAGGAAGAATAGCTGATATTGGAAGAAGAATATCGAATTCATAAAAATTTAATCTTGATTAATAAATACATTATACAGTAGACTTATAGTCACTCCGCCTAAATTCATACCACTAGAAACAGTTACATAAAATTTAGGCCCAAATATGCAGAAATTTTAACTTTAGCACCGCTTACAGTCACACTCCGTTTATAGTCGCAAATTTCCAAGCAACATTTGGTGTGACTTTAACCGGAGTTTACTGCAACTAAAGCTTGCGTGTCGTAAAATATGACGATAAAACCTGAAATTATGGAAAATAAGAGCGATTTTAAAAACAAACACATTACGGAAGTGTCTTATCTTCCTCGCACAGTTTTAACTATAATTTCAAGCTTTATAATTAAAATAATATTGCTTTTCTTAGTGTGGTTAGTAATTTATCATCGATAATTGACAAAACAAGAACAAAAATATAGATATTTTGTTTTTGTCAACAAAACCTGCCTCATTTTTGGGCCAAAAGCCTCGCCAAACCACATTTGAGGTTTCTAAGGTTTTTGCATCTCTTCCTATTTACTGACTAATAAAAAATTGGGCGCACACAAAAAATATTGCAAATAGTAAATCCACTATGAAATTAGAAAATCAATTCTCTGTCTGTTCGAAATTTCGTAAGCTCACCTCATATTTCTTGAAATTTGGACGCTGTTGTCGGCTCCAGATTACACTCGTTTGGCAGTCGACAACTGTTCCTTTATCATCTTCAACCTGACAGCGAAAGAGATGTTGAAGAAAAGTTTAGAAAAGTTTAAAAAAAATTTTGAAAACAATGAGAGAAAGAGAAAATAAAAATTACTCTTGAAAATTTAAAACACTATTCCCCTTCAGTGGCGTCGCCAGCTTAAAAAAACTGGGGTGGATAAAAACAAATTTTCTCGGCCACGCTCTTCAGACTCTTGGAAAATCCTTTTTTAGAATATTTCATCGATTCTGAAATATTTGGACAAGTAACTTTCTCAAGCAGCATTATTCGTTACGGTGGCTTTTTTGCCAGTGCGAAAATCGAAATATATGATCAGCCCAACTCCCACCCCCCTCTTACAAAGGTTTTTCAACGGATTTCGAGAAATTAGAAAATCGACTTCTGGGAAAACTGGGAAAGCCAGCCACTGTTCCCCTTACTCATCAACATATTTATCCTTGAATAAAAGAAATGGGAGAGAGGTGGTGTGGACGCACTGGTGTCTTTTGTGCAGTCACATGGAAAAGAGGGTCCCTGAGGATAAAACACTGGCCTACATCTCAGTACTGTAGCTTTTTAAAGTCTCCTGTTGTAGAAGGAAAGCTGCCACCCCTGGGAGGAAGTGGTCAAAAATTTTGATCTAAAGTAAAGGGTTAAGATAATTGAAACCACAAAAGTATCTGCTTTTTGCCTAAAGGAATGGCCTGAAGTAAACAATCCAATGGAGTCCTATAGTTACATAGCCTCACAGTGTATGGTATATATTGTATAGCGTATAGGCTTTTAGACAAATAGGACTGCTACCTGCCAAAACTTCAACACGTCATAGTGACGTCATTCCTAGGCGTTTTCCTTTAATCAATACTACCAATGAATGATAGTGTATAGTGTGAAGTGTATAATGTAAAGCTTTATAGATATCTAGTACAGTTCTGTGCCAAAACGTCAAAACGTCATAGTGACGTCACTTTGCGTGACGTCACAATGGGGCAAAAATGAAAGATGAGGGAAAAGAGAATACTACCTGGACTAAAGGCTCGGAAACATGGAACGTGACGACTTGTTTTCTTGTTTTCGTCAATGAATTGTAAACAGCAACAGTTCTGGGTAAAGAATACAAGAGGTTGGGTATAATGAAATACAATTGTCCAGAAGACCTGTCAAGAATATGATAAAGACAACATCAACGTCAACAATGGGAAAAGCAGGGACGTGGTGGGGAGTTTTGTAGGCCGGGAAAATTAAGTTTTTAGGGGCATATCATTTAGATGCCTATTGTTTCTTGTTGGCATCACTTATGATATTTTAGAAAATGAGTCTCGCAGAGGCAGCGTGGGGCCTTACTTCACTTGTTTTTGCTCACAAATCTGATGCTACAAATGATAAAAGCTTAAAGCTGTAAGGGGCCTACCGGGAAACTTCCCGAGTCCCAGTGGAACAACCACGCCCCGGGGGAAGAGTCAGGCAGAAGATTTTGTCAACATTTAGGATGGTCAGTCTTTTTTAACGTTGAGTTATAGCGAGGATTAAGTATGCTAAAGTGCTTGGTAGGCAGAAAACATGGGGAAGAAATGTATGTTGAAGTAGGCCAGTCAGTTTCTTTCCTTGGAGCTTTTAAGGCCACTTGAACGAACCAAACATAGGATAGTTGTTAGAGAGGGTACTTGTCTTCTTAGGCCAACAGCGTGACGAGGTATGGCCACCAAGATGTTTCTTGCTGCTTCTAGGCTCTCTAATACGATACATATCTAACCATGGGGAACATTTGTCCTAGGCTAAATGCAAGATTTGGTAGGATGGCCAGTCCTTTTCTCACACCTTTCAGGATCTCTTTCTCCATCAATACTTGCCAGTTTTAGAGAATAATTGTCCCGGGCCAACCGCAATAAGAAGGGTGGCCAATACCTTTTCATGCTACTTTGAGTCTCCTATACAAGATAAGTAGCAAAAGGAAGATTCTGTCAGAAAGACAATTATCCTCGGTCAACCGATTCCCTAGATAGGAATATGCACATAACTTTCTAAACAGAATGAAATTGATTTTGCACATAGACTCTTTCAGGTCATCTGGACAAAACTGAACAATTCTATAAATATATTGGCATGACGTCATTTTAGTTCAGCAACAAGCTTACCTCGGTTGATTTGAGACAATAACAAGCTCGTTAATCGGAATATCGCCTTGACCCATTCTTGTATCAATCTGAAAATAAACTTGAAATTAACGCACTGCTAAAATCTAAAGAAGATTAATTCTGTCAATGATAGATGGCAAGCATTCCACTAAACTCCTAACCTTAAGATCTTGATCGGCTTCTAATCCTCCCCCTTGACCTTTTTGCCCCTTGACATTTGACCCTTGACCTTATTCTTGCATTGGCTTAAACTTCTCTAACTGACTATTAGACTATTAGAACACAATCTCAAAATCTCCATAGATTTCAACTTACATAACGATTTCATCCTCACTGTATACCCATGATTCTACACTCTATAAACTGTAAGTAATAACATAACCTAACCCTAGAATTTCGTTCATTTATTTACACTACAAAATCAACCTTGACCTTTGCCCCTTCGACCTTTGTAATTTATAAACTTTACTCTATAAACTTTAAGTAATATCAGAGCCTAACCCTTGAGTTTTGTTCTTTTATATACATTGCAAAATTAACCTCAACTTTTCCTCCTTCGCACTCGTCACAAATTAACCCCGTCCTTTCTCTAGATTTGACCCCCATGCTATGCACATACGACCCAGGAAAAGTTACATACGGCATTAAGTGTAAATAGTTAGGTAATGGAGGGAATGAATTTCAGAAGCCTGGGAAATTTCTGGAGTTCTCAATCTCCCTACACTTTAAATCTCCTCTTATTCATCAAAGTCAATGATGACCTATGCCTTATGGTGTTGACCTATAACCTTTTCTAACATCGAACTGTTCACCATAACAATATCACTATCTAAAACTAAAGAATGGGCTTAAGGGATGAAATGAGAAGGGGAGAGGGGGAGGGGGTGTGAAAAAAGAAAAAAAAAAGTTAACAATCAGGAGGGGGGCAATAATTTGATACCCTAGAAAAACTTTTAAAAAGAACTTTGTTTGCACCATACATCAACCCTAATTAACAATTTAGATGATGCTACTTACAAAGTGAAATGGAGCCGCATCATTTAACTTAGGTTTGCCTCTGCTCAGCAGCACATGTGCAGCCTTTTCAATAACAAGCTGACTCGATCTGATAGCCTTTAACAATCTAAAAGACAAAATATTCAAAAAATTAAAATTTTGAAGATATCTTCTCTCTTCTCGCACAAAACTTAAAAAATATTCACAAAAATACAGAAATTATCACTAGTGGCTCCAGCGCACTATATTCCAAAAAACTGCAATTAATAATAACACTCGGGCTTGATTAAGTCATGGACAAAAGTCAAAGTTCATTCAAAGTAAAGGTCAACAAGTGAAAGGTCATTGGAATAATGGGTCAACAAGTCAAAGGTCATTGAAATTAAAGGTCAGCAAGTCAGAGGTCATAATACTTTGCAATGAAGCAAAAGCACCAAAACCTACCTTTCTCCATAATCTATGACTACGTGATCTTTGGCAGTGCCTGTGATGCCATCATGGTGTTGAAACAGACCAAGATCAGCTCTGATTTGTACAAGTCTTATAAACAAATTGTTTGACCAATCTCGGCCAGGTCTGTCTGCTTTAACGTGTGCGTGTGCCAACGTAAAGATAATTTCTGCAGCTCTAAATGTTAAAATGTTTAAGCATGAAAAGCTCACTTCCTAACACCTAACAACATCAGCGTCAAAATCAATGTCAAACGTCAACATCAACGTCAACAAAGGGCAACTTAAAGAAAAAGACCCAAGCTAAAAATTGAAATTATTGATGAAATCTTGTTAGATAAAGTAAACATGTAAGCTATTTTGTGTAAAGACAGGGTGGTTTTAAGTTGCTACTCCGAGTTTCACACGTGAAGGGGCTTTGTCAAGGTTTTGTAAAGAAACCATATACACAAGACATTGCGCGTTTAAGCATAATTTACACATTGGGATAATGTCAGATGGTGCTCCGGGTCTTCAATAAATTGTATCTTCTCCGTGTATTTACATTGTTTCTTCGATATTCAGGCGACTGTTCTGACGTGTATATGCAAGTCACGAAGATTTTAAAGCCAGAAGCTGAGAATTTGATGTAAATAAGTTGTACCTGTGATAGGCCTCTAAGACGCGATCCATGTGTTTGTAGAATGATCGAGAGGTATAGTAGCCACTCCAGTAATGATCGTCCCTAAAATGAGAATCAGCGGGTCTTGTTATGATAGGCTCGACTTAAAGTGCCTGTGACATGATTTTCGTACTTTTGGGTTCATATATCTATTCTTATGTAAAAAGGCCTTTTATTTTCATTTCTGAGGTTAGTTTTTACGTTTCGTGAGAAATGAAGGAGTTATTGGCGATCTTCTACGCCAAAATTCGCCATCTTGGTTTTCAGAATGAGCAGACAGTGACGTCACAAGAGAACGGCGAATGATGATAAAGTGACTTGGCTAGGCCGCACTATTTTGCTTAATTTCAATATCAAAACGCTTTCATTTAAAAAAAAGTTCAGATCTACTATAAAAGCAGTGCAACGCTTCAATTAAGAGAATAAAAAAATCATGTCACAGGCACTTTAAAATCGATGTGGGAAGCTATTTACACTTCAAATCAACCTCATTTCGATCCTATTTACGATTGAAGCCAATCTCATTTCGATCCTATTTACGATTGAAGCCAATCTCATTTCGATCCTATTTACGATTAAAGCCAATCTCATTTCGGTTCTATTTAAGACAAAGGGGATGTTGAAAAGACGTCACAGAAAACGAATTTTCGAGTTAAAAGATATCTCGAAAACAAACAGTTTCTCTAAGATTCAACAAATAAGAATGAAAGGCGGAGGAAGAAGAAAAATAAGGACTGACTATAACTTTTCTCATCGTTTCGGAATTTTCCAATAGAGAGACTTACTTAAATTCATTTGCATTGTGCAGAATTTCAAACATTAAATTTGACAAGCAGAAAATCAAAACTTGCCTATCCGCATAAGTGAAAAAGTCACCACCAAGTGACACATGGCCGTTTGGTTTTTCACCTGGTTTAGCCCCCGTCCGCTTCCAGATAGCATTGAAATAATCACCCAGTGTACCAAATTGCATCTGAAAATTACAAAAAAAAATACGGAGGTAATATGTTGAAATGTTCTTGTAAGGGGGAATAGAAGGGGCAGATATACAGTCAACCTTGTCTAATTTGCATATCAGTACAAATTTTTACATAAGTGCATTTTTGCATTCATATGTTTTGTCCATTCACTTTCTGCATATACGCCTAGTTTTGTATTAGTAAGTCAGTCAGTATATTCATCAGGTAAACTTGTCCCTTACTGGTTCCATGTTTTCTACACATTAAATCATATCTTAAAACCCCTCACGTCAACAAGTGATAATATAGGAAGCAATCAACCATTATCACACATGTTCCTACAGTACTTATGCTGACATGAAAAAAGGTGCTGAAGGGGGGGCGAGACTTGTGGCTTAATGAGATGACATCACATTCGTCCATTGTTTTAGAACAAAAGACAATTGCTTCCAAAATATTAGGGGGCCAGCGCCCCTTTTGCCCCCCCCCCCATGTGACCGCCACTGGCTAGAACTGTCACTAAAAACGTAATTCAGAGCTTTTACACAGGAAAAAAGTGTTGCTATAAATAACTAGATGAATCTCTTTGCGACAGAGGAAGAAAAGAGAGAGAACGGAATAAAGTTTTTGCCATTGACACTAGAAACAATTTCTCTAGCATCACTAATTAAAAACATTATGTTTGTTACTTAATTGTATGTTCATTTCATTTTGTAAACCGGCAGCCTATCGGTATATAAACAGTGCTGAATTCATATATGTAATGTAACTATTAAAAAAAAGTTTTTGCCTATTGCATTGCAGCATCAAAGAGGACTTTAAGAGTAACCATTTCATGTTTGCATCGAAAAAAATTAAAATTTACCTTTGCTTTTAGTTCCGGGTGAGTGTTGACGTAATCAATCAGTCGCTGGAAAGCAATCTCTTGGAATTAAAATTGAATTCTGAGAAATTCCTCAAGGCTTTTCGAACAGTTTGGAAACTTGGCGGAGCGATATAAAATTGAAAGTTTATAAAGAGGATTGAAAAAAAAATCAAATTAACTGTTTGAGACTGTCGGATCGGCGAGGCAAAAGGAGGAGCCAAAATTGCTCTTTTAGCAGGGCTTGGGCTATATAAAGGAAAGGAGGTCTCAAAAAAGTTTATCGCAGCTTTGGAAGGAACACTAAAGTCTGGGAACACTAACAGCAGATAAAAGTCTGGAAACACTAACGGAAGTTTTGAAAAGCAAATTCAGTCATCCCAAAAAGCTTTCAACATCTCCTATTTAAAAGCCAACTCCTCTCCTCCCCATTACTAGGTTTTCTCTAATTCGTCTCCAATAAATTATTAGGGTTTATGAATGAGGGGCTAGTGTAGGGGAGATATCTGGGAAAGAATTTATGGGGGTACCCTGCTTCCCTACCAGCTACTAACTACAATCAACAACTGAACTAGTAAGAGCTTATCAATAGATATTCAACAAGGTCACGTGCCTGCGCTCCTCCATAGCAAATTCGGGTTATGAATCCTTGAAATACCATGAAGAAATAATCACAACTTCTTCCGATTCGACTCAAAGAATGCGATAACAAAAAGTAGCAAATTACAACACGAACAAAACCCTCGGTTATCCTCAAATCTCAAATTCTCAAAATCTCATATCAGATCCAAGATTCTGGGGTTCGAGTCCCTGGCATGACCAAACTTTCACCCAGAGTGGGGAGAGTCGCCAGCTCTCTGTAATTCCAGGCGTAGGAATCACGAGGTGTAGTCACATCGAGAGGAAGGACCAGGAAACTGCACGTTAAGTATAGCTTCTCAGTGTCCTAAAAACTACCTTCGGATACTAGGTAGAAACAAAAACAATTGCAAATTCTCCTAACGTTTCCCTAACGGAAGAAATACGCGAACTCCATTACCCATACTTGACATTCAGCTCTTTTCTGGTTAATTTATGCAAATTTATTCATACCTCACGCATATTAATGCCATATTTACAATAACTTATAATAATTTATTACTCTCACCTGATAGTTATAGAATTGTTTATCGACCTCAAACTTGACGTCGTATCGGAAATCATCACCCAGGGGGGCTAAAACGATGTTATTCTTGTAGAGTTGTGCTTTTTTGCGATACTGATCGAGCAAGGTCGTCGCTCTGTAAGGATAGAAAAGATTTGATTATAATGAAGACTTAAAAGCAATCAACTGACATCCGCTAATTCGGCTGCGTGACAATTCGAGGTTTCGATAATTCAAACTGCGAGAAAATAATATGTTTCGAGTATCGTTAAACTGAAAAAGCAATACAGCCTACTTTAGGCCAACTTTTTTCGCGATAGTCAAATTTAGCGAAAATTGGTGGGCACAGATTCAGCGCAATCCTAATTTAGCGAATAATAGGTTCATTAGCAAAGGGAAACTGAAAATGTATTGATAATGTTTACGAAATTTAAATATTCCGTAATTATTATCTTGTGAAAAAACTCGCTAAAATCGCAAAAAAGGGGAGGCATTTTAATAATTTAAACTTTCGATAATTTGAGCTTTCGATAACTGGAACATTCGAAAGTTCGAACTTTTTCGAATTCTCGTTTTTCGAACATTCGATTGGAACGTTGTGACAGCATGGCTGTGACGTCATAGCTAAGTCTGAAGTTTCAAAAAACAAAACCCTATAGAAATACCCAACGATATAAAATAAAAACGAAAAGTTGTGTGTAAATTTAGCTGGCAGCAAGAACTCAAGGGCAATTTCAAATTGTGCAAAAACTGGACCATAAAATTCAATAATGTACTTGCCTTTCGGCCACATTGTGGTCGCCGATTTCGACCGGCGCCACCATCCACGGGCAGAACATTCCGCCGCCAGGCAGACGCCGAAAATCGAATTGACAGCAAACCTAGGAAACATCGGATAGTTAATTTAAAACAAACACCTAATGCAGGCTGAAAGATGATGTTAATAGGGTAGATTAAAACGATGCTAGTTAGGACCAACCAATAAGTATAATAAGTTCTTAAGTAATGGCATCATTTAAAATCACTATTAATCGCATCATTTGTGTGAAATCATTTCAATTACTCAAAATCTGTCAAATAAGCTTATGGAGATATCCTCGGCTGAGGAAAGGCTCTTTCCCCACCAAACCTCTGTAATTTGGTCTCTGTTCATAACTTTATTAGCAAATCCAAAATAACAGTAATCTGTTTTGCAAATTTGACTGATTTCGCCTTCCTCTTTTTAATTATGTGACCAAAATTAAAAAATTCTATAAATATCTTTCTTCTTTGATGTCTCGCTTAAGAAATGTATAAACCACATCTTTAAACAAGATTATGATTCTACTTGGTTCCGTAAAGCTCGCGTATTCCTGAGGACTTAAATCGTTTTAAAGGCAGATGATCTTCATAGATCGAATTTTCATGAAAACCAAAAAAAATTATTAAAAAGAGATGATATAAAAGTCCTTGTTGGTGGGGTCCCTTAGTCATGGATGGAAAGAGGCTTCATTTGCTAGGCCATTGAAAAACACGTACCTTGGGGTCTGGGCCACAGGTGTGAGGAACATCATAACTGTAGAATGGCATCATGTGACAAAACATGTCCGTTGATGAGCCTTTATCTGTAAAACAGAACAAAACAGAACAGTTAAACATTTGATCACGACGCACAACTTCTTTAGCTTGTGAATTGCTTCATGCATTTAGGGCCTCTTTACGCTTCAAAGCGCGGCAACAGGCTGCATATGACGTCAGGGGGCAGCCATTTTGCATTTTACTTTGTCTCCTTGCTTATATCTTAACAGGGAAAAAGCTGTTAATAACTATAAAAAAATGTAAATATATATTTCTGCCGGTTATGTATAGATTAAAATTATTTCATGTATCAACTTTGACCTTTTTTAAGGAATCTCTAACTTTAATTTTGTAGTAGGCCTTAACTGGCTGCAAATAAGATATTTTATTAGTAAACAAACGAAAACAATAAATAATAAAATCCACGAAACCTGACAAATAGACGTAGGAGCCTTGGCCACTGGGTTAACGTACCTCCTCCCCACTACCCCACTACTTTTAAGAAAAGAGGGAAAATATTTATTCTTATACGTTATTCAAAAATATTTACTCTTTTTCTTACCTCTGCCCCCACCCCCCCCCCCCCCCCCCCATCTATGCAAAGCTTCCTACGTTTATAGCCATAGATGTATCAGATGTAAGTATCATCTGGCGATAGATGAGCGGCCTCAGAGAGATAATTTAAATCAACGGGGTAATGCGTAAATTATGTAAAATAAATAAACCAACCCCAGTTTTGCCTCCACATGAATTCGAGGTCCCTTCTCTTTGCAAGATATCTCTTGACTGCATAGTGTGTTCTCTGTATCAACATGCCTTTAAAATCTGCACGTTTGAGAATATAGGCCATTGTTGGCGTGTGTCCGAATGGATCGATAGCCCAACCATGGGATGGTTTTACTCCTGGAAAGCAAAACTACTTTTGAAACAAAACTTTTAATATTCATTTCCATACTCGATCTGTTGACTAAAGTCAAAGGACACACATGGACAAAATACTAACAAGGCATCAAAATGTCTCAAAAAACTCCCAGAGCTAGCAAAGAACAAATGGGGTAACAGTATTGAAGTTGGGGGTAACCCGCCAGTCATTCTACTTCAGACTATTTCTCTTTCCACCTGCACAACCTATAAACTACCTCAAAATGCTGACCATTACTGTAAATATTGGAAAATGGGGTAATTCAGGGACCCTGCTTGGGTCTCTTTCTTTTGAAACTTGCATAGTCTATGAATGTCTTGTAAACTGCATTCATACATTAAAGTGCTCACTAAATTTCAAATCACAAAAAGTCAAACGATAGAGAAAAAACAAGAACGTAAGACAGGGACCCTGTTGAGGGCCTCTTTTCTTGAAACTTACACTGAAATGCTACCTAGAAACGTTGAAGTTGGAGTTTCTCAGGGACCCTGCTTAGGCCCATTTCTCTTGAAACTTTCGCAGTCATTGAGTGCCCTGTAAACTACATTGAAATGCTCACTAAAAAACAGTCAACAGATGAAGAATGCAACAAATGAAGTTGGAGTAACTAGATACAGTCAAGCAGTGAGGTAAAAAAATAACAAAATGGCGTACCAATATGTGTTTCCAACCACTGATGACCCTCGAGGAGCTGGTCAATCATAGCGTAGTAATGAGTATTCGCTTCATCGTTCATAACCCAGCCACCTGTGACGATCTCTAGCTGTCCGTTGTTGATTAGACTGTGAAAATATACAACAGAAATACGGTTTATGCGGGGACGATAAATAGAGGGATGCATTAGGGGGGGGCGCTATTTTGATTTTCTAGGGAACGGAAAATAAAGTTCAAAAAGGTTATAATATATAGCCTAATAGACTGCAGATGTTGAATACCCGTTTGCAAATCACCATCATAGGGAGCGCTCATTCGGGAGTGCTAATTCAAGGGGGGTGTTTTCATGAGGGGGTGCGCTCTTTCGAAGGGGGCGCTCTTTCGAAGGGGGGAGGGCTTTTCGAGGAAATACTTCAATAAGGTTATATAGCCCAATAGACTACAGAAAAAATAGAGTATGGACGTTGCATTAATAATTAGCAAAAGGGGAGAGCGTTCATTCCAGAGGGGGGGGTTCTCATTTAAAATATTTTTAGGAGAGGCGTTCATTCGAAGGGATGTTCATTTGAGGGGGGCGCATTTCGAGGGGATGCCATTCGAGGGGGACGCTCTGTCGGGGAATAGAGTAAATGTGGGGTGTGGTCACATAGAAAGAAAGAGCCAGGACTCTTCTCAATAATCACTGTATCTCAGTGTCCTAAATACTACCTTCGGCTGCTAGGTAACAAATGCAGAAATGCATTAATGCAGAAAACAAAGGATAATAGCTCTATGCTGTCTTCACTGAACATTAGTTGGTAATATGGCCTATGGCCTTTTATTTGAAAAGGGAATAACCTAAAAAAATCCGGACATACCTTTTTGCCTGTCGTTTTCTCTTTTCGTCCGCATCTTTCCACCACATCGAAAAATACGACGTTTCGGCCCAGATGAACTTACGACGCCTGTTTTGCGACAAAGCATCGACAACATTATCGAGAATATGTCGCGTTTGCACCTCGTAATATTGATCAACGGTTCTCAGCCACCCTGTTGACAGAAACATGATCATTATTATTATTATTATTATTATTATTATGAACATTTCTATCCGCTGCACCTACTATATCTTCTGTCGTCGAAACAAACCATGGCTAAGCCCCGAATTAATTGACTTTTAAATATTGTAATGCAGATAAGCCAATTATATGATGCCTGTAAAAGCGAGTCGTATAATTGTAGATTTAAAATGTATTCAATGAAAATGAGATGTTTAAAAAAAATTGTTGGTAACTCTCTTAGGAAGATAGAATGGATCGATCCAAATTTGAAACCATTGCTAATGTCAAAGTGCGACCTTTGGCCACTTGTCCTTTGACCTTTGCTCTTTCCACAGCAGAACATCCCTACAAAACGGCCAAGTTTATTCTTCTTGAAGATTGACATATTCAACAGCCAATCAAGTTTTTATAAAATTAATTTATGTCTAAACTAAATTTGCTTTATCTATATAAGCACTCGGGCCTAATCAACACAAGTTGGTTATGGTTACAAATTTACGAACCAGGCCTAAAAACAGTAATCTTTGAATTCAGCATTTTAACTTGAAACATGTCAATGAAATCGCAACAGATTTAACCGACAAAAAGTCCAAAACAATAATTCTAAAATTAGATTTCAATGACGTCACCAGTGAGCAATTCTAGACTCACCTGGATCATTGTGGGAATGTGGAACAACGAATATCAACAATTCGTTTTTGTCAAATGCGTCATCCTTATATTTCACATCCCAGCCTTGCTTCCATACCCCTCCATCGGGGTTGACAAACGGTAGCTCATCATACACGTCAAGCATCTAAAAAAGGCGCGAAAATTCAAATTTGCAAAGGGATTCTTTCGATTACATAACAGGACTGCACTATTTTTCCTTACTTGTGCTTTCTATCGTGTCCGGATTAAAAACCCACCCGGGCTGTTCCGGACTCGACACTCGATGGTATCATTTTTGTTGCATTTGATTGTGAGTCATCGATATTCGAAAAAAACCTCCTGCCCCTCCTCATTGACCCCTCTCCCCTACCCCGACCCCTCACCCTCTCCTACAACAACCCAACTGTTCCCCTACCCCAACCAGGAAGTAATACATGTAATTTTGTTTCTAAATAAGTTCAAGAACCGTAGAAAATATTACGGGCTGAGGGGGTTTAAAATTGTTTGGGTGGGCTAACATACTAAACGCCAAGAACAAAGCCCCCTCAGCTCTCCCCCCCCTCTACAGCGATCCCTGAATCACTTATTTATCAACCTCCTGTCAAGTCGTTTGATTCTGCGCTCGGTTTTAACATGTTCAAACATGTTACTAGCTTGAAGATAGGTTAAATTGTACCCATTTCTTCGAGCAGTCGTGAGAGCGAAGCTAGAAAGAGCGTGGCAGTGAGGTTGTGAACTGACAAATAATTAAATGTTGTTTACAAACAAAAAAGAGGTTAGCATAACACCACGTGATAACAGTCCTACTAAAAAGAAGGACAGATTAGTTAAAGTGGAGTTATATACTTCGGTCAAGCTTTGACATGCTAGCTTTTGCGTTGTCTCACGTTGTTAATGTTTGAAGTTAGTGCTCAGTAATTGCAGATTTGACATTCTGGCTTCACAATAAATATAACATTCCTATTGGAAAGTTCTAGAAAATAGTTACAAAGAGAATCCAGAATTATCAACACATACTGGTGCGGAATCTTTTAATTACTGTGCAAACAAGGTCGTATTTTCATTTAAGCGTGTTGAACTCTGTCTACATTCCAACCGAAATCCTTATTTTCGTAAGCAGAAGCAACTAGTTTTTTTAATAGATGTCTTAAACTACGTCAGATCTAGTGGTCACCGATCGGTCAGAAACATAAAACTAATTAAAGGGGCTGGGTCATTTGTGCGGGACAGTCTGCAGAACATATTGTGCGGGACAGTCTGCGTGTAAGAAGATAATTGTTTACTAATCGTCAGAGTAAAGTGTCTAGGAAAATGGCAGACCTCGAAATCTTGATTCTTGTAGCAATAATGCCAAGTCTAATTCGTTTTCACAACAACAACACAACATTGTCCCTCGGCTTACACGTGACCCACCCCCTGTAAACCCATCATTCTTCTGTTTGCGTTATTTTCGACCAACACAAGAAATTACACTTTACATTATCCATCACCCTACCTTTAAAATTTGAGAAATACCGGAGAAAAACTTGAGTAGGACAAAATGGTTCACTTTTTCTTACTACAATTTTGCAATATCTTGTAGACGTTTATTGAGACGTTTGGTCACAATTTTGTAGAAGTTTATTCTCAAATAATAAGTTTCAACCCCCGGTTCTGTACCTTCTAGTCCACTTACCTTAACATCGGCAGAGTTTCCAGACGGGGCATCTGAAAATTTGCACATGTTGTTATTTCTATGTGTTTGTTTCTTTGCTGGTCTCACGTTTTTTGGATGATTCATTATTACTGTATCATCACGTCTATCTGGTTTGACAACGACTGCAAGGAAGAAGACGAAATTATTACGAATGATAACGATTATGATTATCAATTAACACGTTAGGTTTTGTCGTACAGGCAGTAAGCAGGGCCATGCTTTGAACCGATGAACTATCCACCTTTTGCGAAAAATATATACGAGATTTCAACGAAAACAAAATGAGTTCCAGGAATTTTCTGATAAAACAATAGGATTTACTCTAAACGTGTACGAGATTTTTATAGAGTGATTTCCCCCTGGCCTTGAACTTTCAAACTGGGGAAGCCTGGAACCTAGAGTACGTCACCAACAACACTTTGTTGGTTGACAATGGAAAGTCTATATAAAAAATTGATTATGCGACGTAGCAAAACTGTTCGACTGACTCCAAAAGAATATGTGAGGCGAAGTATATAACTCCCCGGTATACAGGGCATTCTCAGAGCTATTTTGTAAGCCAACTGTTTGGCAATCAATAATTTTTCCCAAAAATGGGGGTCCATGGCCCCCCTTTCACCATGTTTGGGGAGGCCGTTGGAAATGATGAAATGAGTGCATACTTAGAAGGTTTGCATAAAGTGCAGGAACCCAAGAAAGTCTTCCTAATGGGAGATTGGGCCCATAAGACCGCAACTATAGGTCCAGAGGTCTTGCTACCCGCAGACTGGAAACTTTGTTTCTTGAGCGGAGAAGTTTACTTTGGAAATTTGAGACTGCACCCCTGAAATAATTAACTCTTAGTTGTTTTTTAGAGTTAATAATGTCAAATGTATTTATCTAGGGATCTCGTGCGGCCAACATGCAAATGTGCGCAGATGTGTGCGCGGGCAATATATTGTGTGCGCGGGCAATATATTGTGTGCGCGGGCAATATATTGTGTGCGCGGGCAATATATTGTGGTCGCGCAACAAAGTTTCCAGCCTGGCTTACCGCTCCCAAAACAATTTTTATTATCATCATATATCTACGCTCGACTGCCATGCCAGCACTCCGGGTTTGATTCCGGCTCGCGGACGGCCCCCAGTTCACTCAGCTGAAAATGAGTACCTAGCCGTAACATACTAGAGAGGTAAAAGTGGCGTGGAAAGGAACTGGCCACCCTACCACACAATGCCATGGCCCAGGACGATGCGCCCCTAACAGTGCATCCCCCAACGTTCGATATCGAATACGGGACCAAAAAAAGAATATCTACGGTTAGTGGCCACGCCCATTTGTTCACGTCATGATTGAGAGAAATTTCTTATCTTACAACCTCGCTTGATGGAAAAAATTCGCGACCACTTAAGATATTGGAATGATATGATATCGTTTTTCAATAGTTAATATCGTTCCTATATGAATGTGGTTTTGTTAAAAAATTCAGGACAATACTATTTGATACAAACAAACTGACGCAAGTAGTTGCGAAATACCTTTCCCCCATAGCAGGTTCCTCAGCTTGCCACCATCAATTTAAAAAAAACTCAATTTAAAACTTCAAATTCAATAGCTTAAACAAGATTTGTAATAAAAAAGCTGACAGATTCCTGGTGAGCTCCCCACCCTTCGATGACCCAGTGACAGATAGTGCTTAGTGCTTGGTGACGGAGGGTGGGGGCAAACATTACCACCATTGTCCTTATGTCAGAAAATATGTTTTCAAAAAGTCTATTGGTAAAAGTCTAAGCACGAGAAGGAATAAATTTTTCAAATCTTTTATTGATCCAAATATGCTTCTTATTAAAAAATTAGATTTTTAAGATTTTCTTGCCTTCCTGCCTTCCCGAATAACATGATTTTAGCTACGCGTTATTTTCAAAAAAAGCCTGAAAGCCCTCTAGCCTAACAGAAGCTCCCACTTTGGCTGCTGTGAGGATTTAAAAAATTTTCGCACCCATTACTAACAAACTGAGCCTCTTTTGAAAAATTGACAGCAAACAAACGAAACAGATCGGACTTTTTTTACACTATTTTATTGTATAATGATAGACCAAAGTACATTAGGGTTTTAGTGTCTCGCTTAGGGCTTGATACGGTTTAAGTGTCTCGCTTAGGGCTTGATACGGTTTTAGTGTCTCGCTTGAGTATTTACCATGGCAGTTAACTTTCTAACCCCATGCCCTTCTCAACTTTTCAACTCATTCTATAATACCAAAGTACCTCAACATCTAAAAGCTCTAAGATATGCTGAAAAAAGATTGGTTGAATACATTTTAGTCCATAATAAAAGCAAAAGAAAAAATGTAGTTGAAGGCCTCAGTATTGATGTAGGATTTTTCTGTAGTATACGGATCAAATTGAATCGAATTATATTGAATTTTCTGCATACTTACCTACAACCCTGGCCAAATAGTTAGTGGACTGGAGAAAAAAACACTAAGGTTGCAATTTTACCCCGAAAATGTCATCAACCCCCCCCCTGCAGCAATGTTGGTTTTTTAGATAACACTCAAGTACCAGCTTACGAAATTAGTAGATTCAAGGGTATCAACATTGACTGTGGGGGATGGGGGGGGCGCATTTATTCAAAAAGAATACAATTTGCCAGCCAGTCCAATAACTTTTGGCCAGGGTTTTAGGCTGCAATTTTACTTCTTAGATCTGAACTATTGTGCACACCAAGGTCTAAAAAATATTTCATGCTCAATTCATAACAGGGGCCCAAACAGGAGTTTAAAAGTGGGGGAAGGGCAAACTAATGACCTGTAACAAAAAATATTGCAAAATGCACTATCTTATTACAAGAAATCAGGGGAGGATGAATTCTGCCTGACCATCGGATCATTGGGGCCCTACAAAACAGTCTTAATTACTGGAATTTTCCCTAGTTTCTTAGAAAAAAAGTGCACAATGTTGAATTTTTTATTTAATCTATCTAGGTGGTGAATGGATGCTAATATAAAATGTTAAAAGCAGTGTCATAGGACTTAATTATTCAGCTGACCTAGCAGGTGGCACAATTTGCACACAGATCATCTGACATAACATTTACAATAACTAACTTCTAGCAATAAATGTTATCAAAACAAAAAATTGTATGGCAATTTGCTGTTCTCGAAAATTTTCCCGTTTTAAAAGCCTAGGCGTTCCTAGTACCCAACCTAATTTCTATTTTGCATCCAAGGCTTCCTTTCACAAAAGCTGGACATCTGGGAGCCACACCTGGCCAAGGGGCACCCCACTGCTCGGGTCCCCTTCCCACCCAAAGCAAAAAGCCTAAAATGCTTAGATTAATAGGGTCTCAAAATAATTCTAATTTTTTTAAACTTGAAAATGGCTTTGAAAAAAGCAAACATTTTATAGCAAAAGAATTTCTGCATATGGCAAGAAACTTTTCCTCTCATGCCATATGCAGGGACAAAATATAAGCAATCTTTAATCTTCAAGTGTTCATTTTCGTGTGTTCTTGGCATGTTCTGGTCTTTTTTTTACTGTTTTATCACTTTTTCCCCACAAGCAGTCCCTTGGAGTTCATCAAGCAGCCTGCCACCATGGCCTTTTTTAAACATAGTCTCTTTCTTAAATATCATTTACTTTTGCTCTGATGCTGGGGCAAAATATTGGTTTGAGAGATGCAAAACCATATTTTACAGACAGAAAAAATCTTTTGTTTCATTTGGCATAAAATTCATTTGTTAAAAATGCAATTTTACCAACTAGTTCTCTGAAAGTTGGGGTGTGACATCCCCAACATCTCCCCACACACTACGCCCCTAGTGCCAGTTGCTTGTAGCATAAGAGTTTGAGATAAGAGTTTAAGAGTAAACTTTTCCCTTTATTATTAAAAGTTTTATTCTTCAAAGGTATGATTGGTTTACCTTTTTCATGATCCTTCTCCACAGTAACAGCAAATTTGTTCATAACATTTTTTGAATCAGACATCCTTTCTTCCAAATTTTGAATTGCTTGCTCCATTTTTCCTATTGACTGTGAAGTATGCTTAGTCTGAAATTAAAAAACTAATTAACTTAGAATGAATGAACTTCAGTTAGAAATGAATCATGTTTCTGTAGCTTATGATCTTAGAGTTATATGAATGCAGATGAGAATTTCAATGCCTTTACCTAGTAAAGAATTCAATGGGATCCCAGAGGCCTAGGTAGAAATTTCGAACGAGGGTAAAGGTTTTTTAGGTATTCAAGAATTTTGGCAGAAAGCTATAACCATTCCACCTACTGAACATAGATCATATATTTCAAAAAAATTTCATCACCTTTATCTTTAATATTTGTTTGCAAGTGCTGGGAAGTCACAAAGCTAAGATTACTTGAGTTTTGGGAGGTCCTTAGGGCAAAATCCAAAGTCCAAAGCCTTGAATGAATGAAAGATTCTTCAACCACACCCTTTGTAGGAGCTTAAAACATTTCAGAACATTTCTAGCAGTCATTTTCTTGCAATTGTTTAATGGAAAAAATGCCTTTATGCAAACCTTATCATGGGACATTATTCTGGAAATCTTTTCAGTTTATTTAAGAACAAAAGCAAAAATGTAATTAAACCTGAATTAATAATGCATGAAAAACTGAACTTTTGATTCTTCAGTTTTTGTTCATTTATCATTTTGCTACATGCTTTAATAACTTTTAAATATGAGAAGGACAATGAAATATGATAAACTAAAAAAATATATCTTTACAATTTACTTAAGTAATATACATTTAATTCAGTTTAGGTTAGTTTTCATTTAGTAAACTACCTGAAATTTCCTTGTCCTTACTAATTCAGCTTTGCTGACAATAAGACATACAGACAAGAACTTTTTATATATGAAACGAAAGACTTATTGCAAATACTGTACAGTTATAACTGAAGGAAACAAGAAAAAAGGCAACTCTGAAATTGTGATGCAGAGGCACTTGGATTTAATTCCAAGTACAAAAGCACTAGAGTTTTGAAATTCGTTTTGCCTAGAGTCTGCTTTAAATACTGACGCCCTGGTTTGTATTGTCTGCTACATAATATATTACAACGGCTCACGATGTTGAAAGAAAAATAACAAAAGCTTTTGTTACTATGACAGTAAAGAAACCCACAATCTTTTATCAGGCTATTGTCAGGCTTTCTTGTAAAAGCTTTTAAAACGTAGTAATAATGTTGAACTTACTTCAGACATATGCCTACCGATAATAGGAATTTTTTAAAAATGTCAAACTGTAAAAATACACGGAACAATTTGCCGATTTCAAATGAAACCACAGACAATGATCTTGCAAAAAATTTTGCAAAGAATTTCTCACGAAAGTATTCGATGTCTTGTATGCAAAGGAATTTTGAAAGAAAGCTATCCTAACCCAGCCCAACTCGCAATTATGCCATATGATAAACACAAAAGGCGCCTTTAATATCGTTTAAATGGGTCTTGATTCAGGTACAAATTTAAGTCATGACTTGATCAATACCAACACACACAATCACAAACCTTTTTTATCAGTTCATCTTCTTCAAATTCTCTACTGAACTGATCCAGAACCAAATACATGGAGAAAATCAGACAGAAAAACAAAATAGAGCCACCGATAGCGACTAACTTCCTCATCTTTGCTTGATCTTTCGTTTACAGGTTTGTGAGCAACGACTCCAACTCGGCCATTCTTGACTTCATCGAATAACGGCGCTACCACCTTAGCAATGCAATTCAATGTATTTGAATCAGGCAACCAACAATTACAACGTCACCCGTTCCATCCTGGCGTTTCTAAAACAATGGCTCAAAGTGGCCACGACAAGCAGGCATATGAAGTTCTATACAAAATAACAAGAACTCGCAGCTTGAGCTTCAAAAAGCTGGAGAAATATAATCGGAATCTATGATCATAATCAGGGGTGGGGTGACCAGGGCTGTGGCTAGCTACTGTGCTAAAAGGGGGAGATGGCCCAGATTCAGTTTGATGACATCACAAGTTTCTATTTGAAAATGTATTAAAGAAGAACAACACATGGCAAAAAAATTACACGTTTTTACAATAAAAGTTAAAATTTATACGTTTTTCCAAGGGGGTTTACACCCCCAAGGCCGTCTGCGGAGCCCCCCCCCTAATAATTGTCATATTGTCTCATATTTCCTTTATATAACAGTGTACTGAATGGAAGCAAAACAATGGGCGGCGCCCCCAATATGAATTTCGTTTCCAACGGCACTGCATCCCTACACCCCACCGTAGGTAGCGATGACCCGGGGGGTAGCTGCCCGTTGGAATGTTTGGACCATAACCCCCTATAACCCTCTTATGAATCCATCTATAACTTCTTTGTTTGTAGCACATTTAACTAGTCTGGAAGCATTTCATTTGATCAAAAATTGGGACAGAGAACGCAAACAGACGTTAAAGGAGGAAGGGCTTTTTAAAGAGTTGAGACTTTAAGGGGTTTGTGGAGATGTAAGTGAACTGGAACTGGTCACGTGAAACTGCAAAAAATTATTCCATGGTATTTCAAGGCATTTCATGGTATTTATCACAAGGGAAATTCTTATCCTCAATTATCGGATGGACCTCCCTGTACATCAAAAGTTCAAGTGACCCTGGACCCCCCCTGGGCTGCTGAGCTACCCTTGTGCGTACCACCCTTTAAATGTCGGGCTTAAGTTAGTTTGATTATAACTGATTGATGGAAACACCAGAAGTCTTGGGAAATATCAAGTTAATATTTAATTCGAATGCTAGTTTGTTTTGTCTTAAACGACCCAAACGTCATTGCGGGTTTTTAATCTGATTTTAGAAATATATCTTAAAAGGCTTTATGTTATGCAAGATGACAGCATGGTTTACGTCGAGGACGCCATGAACCAGGGCAAATTTGCTTTTCATCGGAGAAATTTTTCTGTCAATTACCTCGAAAATAGCGCGAATACCTACTCATTTCTTAGCATATTTAGTAATTTTATATATAACTTTTTTATCATATCATAAAATCCTATTCTATGTAATTTTGCTACATAAATTGTGTCATTCTTTTGGTGATACAAAACTTGAAAATGGCTTTGAAAAGAATTTGATTTAACTAAAGCTTTTCGTCTGACACTCTTCAGACTATAAAACATCGGTCGTTTATTATTTTTCTTAGCTTAACCGTGACAACCTCCCAATATTTCTGTATCCTTTGGTAAATTTTTCTTACATCCGGTAAAAATCATTTTTTGAAAGTCAGTAGTAAAAGAGAAATGACAAAATTTTACTTTATTTCCAAGATCTTCTGATCTTCTTTACATTGAAGTTAAAAAGTTACTTTTCGAAATGGCCGTTTCCATGATTTATCTGTGACCTGAAGGGTGTGGTACCAAAATCCAATAAATGTCTTCTAACACCCCCCCCCCAATCATTGTTATTTAAATCCGTCCCTGGGAAACTGTTACTGACTTTGTCCTAAAGCTCAACTTTAAAATTCTCATTTAGAATGTCTGATTTCGGGGATGACAATCTATGTTTCCTGAGAGCAGAGACTCCAGCCTAACGTCCTTCCGTTTAGGTGATTTATAGGAAAGTTGTAGCGATAGCCCCTAGTGTCTTGGCAACTGTCGCCATGATAAGTTAAGGTGGTACATCCAAGATCCGGCAAAAAGTCCATAAATATATGATAATAATCATATCTTTATGAATAAATCTCAAATAATTTATTTCTTTTTAGGTCAGTGGAAGCATTTGGTAGGCCGAATTTGTAAAATGATAACAAGAGAAACTACTTTTAAAAGCATATCACAGGAAACGACTCTCTTATCGGTGGCAAAGACAGTTCACCCGCGTTTTCCTATCATTTATCGCCATGTTTGACTTATAGGGAATAATCGATAAGTCAGTGAATTCTTCTTTCGGTCATCCAAATTTAGAGTACCAAATTGTGACGTCATCAAAAATCTTACGAGAAAATGCAGCAACAAATACCGCGAAATGGCATTTATTGCCAAAAGAATGCAGCTTAGCTAGAACTACATTCAAAATATTACAGCTAAGAATAATATTTCGTTTTGAAAATTTTAACACTTTCTTGGGCCCATCAAATAAAGCAGAAGATGCTGAAAACAATAAGGAACATAGTCACTGGCATCTCTTTGCTTTCTTGTACAAATCTGTTCCAATACAATTAAAGCTTTAAATAAAAACATCTACACACGTGGGTCTCTAATAATCATCCCTCTCACCCTGGTCTAAAGATCATCTATCAGCGAAAATGAGTCTTTTATATATAGAGAGAAAGTTCATTGTTAGCTTTCCACTAATGTATGATTTTATATAAACATTTCTTCCTTCAATAGTTTATTGACGCACTTTCTATCACTCACCAACTATTTTCAAGGGCTTCATTTAATAAGTTAAAGAAGGTTTTCCAATTCAATTTCTCTCTGTACATCTCTGCTTACTCCAACCCCCTGATAAATCTGACCCCCAGTCTTACTCCAACCCCCTGCTTGCTTCAACTTCCACCTTACTACAACCCCCGTCTTACTCCAATTCCCCGCTGACCCTAACCCCTGTCTACTCAACTTCTAACTTTTACTCCTTATTATTAGAGACCCAACAGTGCGTCTTTTGTAAATTCAAAATGGCGGATCCTTTGCAACAAAGTGACTGGCCTAAATGTCCCCTTCCTTTCAACTGTTTTTCTCTATAACATCCTCCAGTTCCTTTATCAGCCATCCTACATCCATAACTCAAATCTTTAAACCCAAAAAATTGAGTCTATTTAGGTCTCTTGCTGCAAAAATGGGTTGGATATCGACTCCATACCATCTAACGGGCATATAAGCACGACAGCAGTGCCCCTACAAACAGTTAGGCCGAGCTTTCGAGTTTCATCAGACAACTTGTATGAATCGTCAGCATCTATGAATAGAGAAGACTTTATAAAACTAGCGGCCCAAGGAGTGCTAGGCAAGATTATTGTACAAAAAACTTATAAAATTGGCTTTGAAAAAAGCAAATATTTGAATAAACTAAAGTTTTTGTCTGACACTCAGAGTTTAACACAAATTGTTGATTGGAGGATAGGGTAATACAGCAGGTCCTTCCAGCATTATAAACAAAAATCTCCATCAAAGAGAACAGCCTACTCGGTCGTGCAGATCAAGAACGACAACTAAAACACGAGTTTCTTCTATCGGGCAGCATTTACTGGAAAACCCAGCTTGTGTAAAAAATTATAATGGCGATATGTTTCAGATTATTGGTAAAGCCCGATCGTCGTTCCATCTAGCAGTTATGGAACCTATTTATATAAACATGAAAAGGCAGGAATTGTCAAGACAGGGGGAGTTCGTTTTCACCTTAGGATCCGTTGGTAAAATTTTCCATAGGCAAGTGGAACTGATTGGGCAACCTCAAAAGTCACTCGCGTCTCTGATTGGCCTATTTTGATCCACAACTGGGTATACATATTTCCTAGCGTAGAGTTTTCGATCTATTTTCTAACGCTTTATACTCTGAAGAGTGTCAGACGAGAAACTTAAGTTTGTTTCAAAATGTGTTTTGCAAAGCCATTTTTAAATTCTGTACAACAAAAAGATTGTTTTGTAAGAATTGTTATTTTTGTGTTGTGCAAGCTTTAAACAAAACTGAAAGAGTCTGTTCTTTTAAATTCTTCAAGCAAAGGGGATGTCTGAGCCATGGTTAAAGCATTTATAAATTTGAAAATGGCTTTGAAAAAAGCAAACATTTTACAACATACTAAAAGCTTTTTCGTCTGACACTCCTCAGAGCATATAACGTCAGAATAAGGGTCAGGAAAAACACGATGAAAAATATATACCCAGTTGTGGATGGAAATAGGCCAATCAGAAAAACGCAAGCACAAAACCGGTATAGTTGACCTATCAGTGCCGCGAGCCTAAAGAAAAATTACCACTGGAGTCCAAGAGAGAAAACAAACTTTTGTCTACACAATGGCGGCTTTTTCGTTTGTATGTAGATCGACTCCAAATCTGCTAGATGGAGGGATGACCTGGCTCTGCCAATTATCCGAAACATGTCGTCATTATAGAGTTTTGCACAATCTGGGTTGTCTAACAGAATTAAATTGAAAAAAATGAAAGAAGTAAAACAGCATACTCCTTGACTTAAAGGCAACTGATAGATACTAAAGGGGCTTAGGCCATCTGTGTCTTTAAAGTACATTCTATGCCTTACTGATTTAGCTCGCCTCATTAAATTAGGGGAGCAATTCACAGCTCAGCTACAAAAAATCAACGGCCAGGCTTGCATACTTATATTGTGTTTTAAGGCAAGTTATCGCATGTGCTCCATGAGAAAGCCTGTATGCCATGTTATCATTTTCACACATTCAATGGAAATATTTGGAACAATGCAAACAAAATTTTGTCAGTTAACTAGGCAGAATTGAAAATAGGCATAAAAATTGAATAGTGTAATAAAACTGTCTTGAAAGGAGAAAGCAATTGAAAGTAAAAAGATAAAATAAATTTATATCAGATGGAAATTGATAATCATTACCTCGAACATACTCTGTGGTGTTATCCAGTACAAGATTCAAAAGTTGATCAAATCCTTTCAAAACACCAGAAACTGTAAAAATAAACAATTCATAACTGATAATTAGATGGAATAGAAACAAAAACAACTGCAAAAAGTATTTGTCACCTCAATAACCAGGGAGGATGAAGGGTAGCTATAAGGATCCGATGAAGAAGTTAGGTTTGAGAAAAAAAACAGGGACAAAGTTTGGCTTAAAACTCCTTTTCATTGAATAAAAAATTTCTGATGAGTTCTGAAAAAGAGACTAAAATTTCCTAAAACTTCTGCTGTTCTAAAACTTTTTTGAAGAAAAAACATATGAAGAGTTCTGACAAGGTAGTTAAAAATCCCAAAATTTTCCTTCAAACTTTTTGCTTGAGGAGGGAACTCTAACCCCCAAACCCCCAATGCCAAAATTCAAAATTTAAGGGCCAGACAGAGGCAGATGCAGAAAATATGCTCCTGCAACCCTTGAACGGATCCAAGTTGCAACTCCAATTTTCATGGTTAATGGGGTCATAAGGGGACATGTATGATTGTATCTAAACTAAATATTTATCAATATATTATATTGTAAACTTTTTTGCAGGTCTGTTTTAGAGTTCTTGAAGCTGTAAGGAAAGAGCTGTACACCCGTATACAATTGGATGGATTCAAGTTGTTACTCCTACTTTCCTGCTTAATGGGGTCATCAGGGGACATGCTTGTCCTGTACTATATATCAGGCATCAAACATATTGGTAATCTTATTCTAGCTTTTGTTCACAAGTCTGCTTTAGAGAACTTGACTGTTTTTGTTGTACAGAAATGGATGATTCTTTGTTGTTATCTTGGGTTTCACATTCAATGTGATCATCTCGTTAGATATTTTGACCAGTATAAAAATTCATGATGGTAGAATTTCTATAAAGGGCAAATTAGTAATAGAAAAGATGGTTTACAAAATATACGGCTCACCTTCCCTCCCTCCACTAAACTTCACTCGGACTGATTTGTCCATGTACTTTGATAAGTCAAAGATAGACTCTTTCTTCTTTTTTTCCTGAAAAGAAAATTTTTGATCAATTTACCAATAAACACAGGTTTGCCTCTGCAGCTAAATTCCCTTTGAAAAGGTTATGCTGCAATTACCTTACTGGTGTAATCATTTTCAAAACTTGACCATGATTTTTTTAAAACAATGGTGAACCCTCCACCCTTAAATGTCATGTTGGATTCAATTATGCTCTCTGTTTTCTTCTACATTCGTAATTGAAAGTTTTGAAACTTAGCCCCCTGATTGGGGGTTCTTCACTCTGTATAGGGACTGGAAAAATCCCTAGATTAGGAAACAAATATTTGATCAGGAGAAAACTCTCATTTCAGTGGACTCAAGCCTGGCTGTCTGCAGAGTATGCTAAATGAACAAACAAGATCAACTTAGCTCTTTTGAAATTGCACCCCCGATTTATAAGGGCACGATATTGTAGAAAACTTCTGTTTTCACACCAAATGATAGTAAAATGTTTGGGTACTGACAACATGCCAGAATTAATTGCGAACGCTTGAGATCTCTTTGAGAACTGTCATAGCACACTTGCATGTTTTGCTGGGAGAGCAAACCCCAATTATAAAAAGATACACAATTTTATTCATAACTATGCAAACATATTTGCCAAGTGATGGTGTTGATACCAGGCCCAGCCTGGCCATAAGAAGTTTTGCAGGGGAACAAGAACAAGAAAGAAGCTTTTCCCACATTGAAAAACATGTATGACATGGAGCATGCAGCCAAGTTTCAAGATAGCAAGAAGACGTATGGCCTACTCGAAAACCGTAAATTTCTTCACCCAACAGAAAAATACTCTGAATAGATGTATAATGAAAATAATCTCTTCCCTAGTATGATGCCAAGAGGTAGAAATTAATAGAAGAAGTCATTCAGCTCAAAGGAAATCTTACCGCCATTTTGAGATCCACAAAATGAAGGCAGATCTGTTGCAACGACCTCGTTTTGAAAAGAGCGTTCTGTAGTCAAAGGCGCTGGAACTTGCTCCATACCGAGCCCAGTGCATGGGCTCCGACAAAGATTGAAAAGTGGGGGGGGGGCCAAGAGAAAATTTAACATCCATAACAAAAGATTTTGAAAAAAACTCAATTTTTTTGCAAAAAAATAATCCCCCTTCGTCGGAGGCCCTGCAGTGGCGGATCCAGACTAATTGCAAATTTTATCTGGCTTTTTAATCTTACAATTACCAACAGGTCTGATTTTCATAAGTAATTGTGCGACTAAATGCGAGTTTTAGGCGACACTTCAAAATTCTGCCAAATGTTTTTTTCTAATTCTATGGTGTTCCTCGTCTAAATGCCGTAAATTTTTTTTAGAATATCCATCCTCAGAATATTGAATAAGATTATTTATTTCTTCTCAAGCTTGTTGTAAGGATACATGAAATTTCAGTAAAGCACCGCTTGTCTCTTAAAAATGGTCTACATAAGAAATTAAAGAAAGCAATAATTGTTTTAGAAAAACTGGTGTGACCAGGAAATGGGTGTGGTCTAAAGGGTGTGGTCGACCCTCTATCTCGTTTCGGCGGTAGTCAGATTTTTGGAAACTTGGGTGCAGCTAATTGTCATCAAGCATTTATATACGTTGTAGAGGGAAGGGTATGCTGCTAGGTGCATGTTGTATTCACTAATTTTCTGGGCCGAGCCGAGTCAGCCCGGGCCGAGTCTGCCCGGGCCGAATCAGCCCAGATCAACCTTGGCTAGGTAACTTTGTGTTCGCACTACAGGAAATATTACTTGGGCTCACTCTACCTGCTTTGACCCTGCTTTGAAAGCGAACGAATTTTGTACGGTCACGGTTCTGTTTTGAACGGGACAGTGTAAACACCAAGCCGAGACGATTTTGTCACGGATTCACAAAGAGGTCTTTTGTATGGCTGTTTCAGGTAATCGAGGCTTTGATTGTGGCGTAACTACGTTCTCAAATTCTGAAGAAAAGGAAATTCTGAAGAAAAGACGACCACAGAAAAAGCTTGTATTGTTTCCCAATCCAAGCCTTGATTGAACTTTGCAGTTTTGTAGTCTAAATTAACACTGAAAATTAAAGCCACCTTGTCGTTCGTCCAAGTAAAGTTTTTATCGGCCTTCCGCTCCATTTTACCTCTTAATAAAAATTCGATTGTTGACTTCGGCGGCAAAATAAAAGCCTTGGTTGACTAAATACAGCTTCTTCTAAACAATGTTTTACCATTAAATCAAGGTCGTACCGGTACAGTGTAAACGGAACGGCTAAACGGAACAATTTGGAACCGCGACAGTGTAAACACTTGCGAACCGTAACGGTACAAAATTGTCCCGGGACAGTGTAAACGGGGTCATGTATTGTAATTCTCGTATAACCATCGGAAAGACTCCCTTATCAAAACTTAAAACAAAGCGAAATGCCCAGAACCAAAAACAAAACATCTCCTGTAAATGTCAGCATTGCTGTAAATTTCGTAATTTGATCTTGTCGAAGATAAAACATTCAGTAATAATTTATCAGTTGCCCTAACATGCTCTCGGCATCTAACAGAAGCTCACTAAATTAACTAAAAAAAAGATGAAGAGCCTAATAAAACTTTTTTGTTTACTGTCCAGACAAAACATAAGATAGTGACTCTGTTTACAAGAGATAATGACTATGTTTCTATTCAGGTTTTGTAGCTTCTGTTTGTTTTGTTGCTGTTTTGAAATGTTATTATTGATTGTGTATATTATCGTCTATCTGTTTGTGATTTCTCCGTCATGGCCTATACACGTGTTTAAAATTCGGGCAATTTCCTCGCTACACTTGCATGGCTAAGATACCTGGGGTTTGCAGGGGTTTGCACTGATTGCAACAAAAAATTTCCTATAGAAAAATATTATTACAAATGTGCAGTATTGAAAATTTCTTAAAATAGGCCCTGGCTCTTTTCTTGGACCATCAAATATCCCTTGGTATTTAAGTCTGCTCTAGGAATGATAAAGGATAAAATTTTTTAAATGTCCTGTGACAGGCTATTTAATTTTGCATTTCAACTAAGAACTCAAAGGCATCTTGATTTTGTAATCGAAGCGCTAAAACTCCTGCGTTTTGTACTAAAAAAAAAATTTTGTCCAACTTTATTCAAAATTCGTGCCTAGTGACAAACGGAGCTTTTTATCCCCTGACTAATGACCAGCCGTACCCACCCCCC